CATGCGTAGTTTTCCCATGGCTCGAATGGGAAATATGACCGGTCATCCAATAGGTGGTATGGGAAATTACGGAGGAATGCAAGGAGTGCCATACAACTTTAGTTAAAAAACAAATGAAAGACATCATAATTTACTGAATACGGTGAGGATGGACATGGCAAGCAGGAAAATATCCATCTGCTCATCCTTTCGTAAAAATTCACTTTAGCCGTCGTTACTTTCTGTTTTTCAAGGTAATATACATTGATCTAGCTATTCAGCTAGAACTTCTCATACTATTTTCTCTACCACACACGGAATATTATAAAAAAAAACATGATGGTTAATATTAACATTTTTCTTGTATGCTTACTAAACCTATTGTAGTTTTTTACTAATAATCCTAACATATGCTAGGGAAACACTTTGGTGAGTAGATAAGAAAATGGCATTTATATAGACTTTTTTCAACTGCTTTGTTTGCAAATAAATTTACGTTCAATATTTGATATTTGAAAATACCATGTAAAGCTGATAATCAGAGATGAATATCGAATGAAATAGGCATTATATACAGGTACCTTTCATAGAACAACAGTATTTTTTAAAATGACATCTGGAATGGTTTAATGAAGAAGCAAGCAAAGTCATTTTGTGAAATACACGTATATGAGCAACTTTGCGAGTTTCAAATTCACTATTCAACGGTCCAATGTCTTTGCTATTGCGTTTCATGCGTCCACTGTATCATCATCTTGATCTTTTATCTTCTTTCCAATTAATTAAAGAAGTTGAATGATTTTAGATAGCTTATTCTTTGTAACACAATATCTGAACGATGAATCGTAACAAAATAGGAGTCCGTGATGTAAGGTTTTAGTCCTTGTGTATGAGCAAAAAAGGGTGATTTTTGTTCTTTTTGCATTATATTCTAGTCGTCTGCATCGATAGATCCGAATATGACAGAATCATCAACCACTTCACTCCAAATACGGTATGTGAAGCCCATGAATGACAATTCCTGGTCTAGCTGAATCATTATTTTAGACGCAAGAGTATTTGGAGGAAAAAATTTATTTTAGTTATAGCTTTTGGTATAGCTCTTGTATTAACCGCAAGTATTCCAGCAGTTAATATTTTACTGAAGAATAAAGATACCACAGATACGCCAACGACGAACATTACGTCAATGACATCCTTAGTATACACGGTGCCAACAACAACACCAACAATGAATACGGCATCGGCAGTGTCATCAGTATACACGGTAGCAATAACATCAAGATCGATAACAACAACGCTAACAGAAGGTATGTTTTTATAAAACAAACTAAATAATTTCTTGTAAGCTTATTGAGGGGTCCTATGAAATAGATATGTGTGAATATGAGTTGGATTTAAGGTGGTACAGAAACGTAAGAGGATAGGATGAATTCTATTTCAAAAAATTGTTAAATATGTAATTAATAAATTAGATTTTTACTGTATAAATCTCTATTTTCTAGAGCATATGATACCTTCTGCTCACAATTATACTAGTCTTAAATGGGCACAAAATGCGAACACTGTTGCAGGAGGACATGGAAGTGGTAGTGAATTAAATCAGTTGTCGAAACCATAAGGCATCGTGATTGTTGATGAACATCAAATGATTTACGTTACTGATTACGACAATCATCGAATCATGGCATGGGGATTTAATTCAAGCGAAGGGCAGATTGTTGCCGGTGGCAACTTGCAGGGAACTGGCATACATCAATTAAATCAGCCCACAGATGTGATTTTCGATAAGAAGTACGATTCTCTCATCATTTGTGATAAAGGAAATCAGCGCATAGTACGATGGTTTCGTCGAAGGGAGAAAACTCCCGAAATAGTCATTAGATCGGTTGATTGCTGGTCTTTGGCTATGGACAACAACCGTAATCTATATGTTTCTCGCTATTTAAACCCAGAAATAAGACGATATACCGATAATGATACTATTGGAACACAGCTCACAATTGGATACAACAATTCAATACCATTCGATGAGCCTACCTATATTTTTGTTGATGAGAATCGTTCGATTTATATATCAGATTGGGGAAATAATCGAGTTATAAAACAGGTGAAAGATATGCAGTACAACAGTATCGTTGCCGGTGGAAATGGTCGTGGGAAAGATGATCATAAACTAACGTATCCTCAAGGATTATTCGTTGATCATATGAATAATCTTTATGTAGTAGACGGAGATAATGATCGAGTAATGCGCTGGTGTAAAGGATGTAAAACGGGTGAGAAGGTTGTTGGTGGTAATGGAGGGGGAAACCAAGCAAATCAACTTAGTGGTCCCAAAGATTTGGCATTTGATCGAAAACATAATCTTTATGTTGTCGATCGCAATAATCATCGAGTGCAGAGATTCGATGTTGATGTCAATTGAACGAGATCGCTTGCGCTTGATCGTATATTTACTGCTACTTANACACATCACTAACGCACACCACTATCATACAGAAACCTATTTTCTCTCCGTGCCTATTTTCTCACGCTTCTTTTACAAGGACAAAAGACATACGTCATGGGTCCTTTCTTTCTTTTTCTTTTTCGTTTTCTCGTGTCCAGCTTACGTGTAACTACTAACCGTTGATTTTATTGTCTATGCAGTATTGTTACACGAATAAAGCTTTGTTACCAAAAAAAAAAAAAAAAGGTGAGTTAGAAATGTGATCTTTATCATGTACTCGATAATAAAAGTTAGTGGTATTTTGAATTAAATAATTAAATTGTTTTTCTAATATTGCTGTTGACAATCAGATAGAAATCGAAAATAATCGTTTAATGTCTTATACAAGAATGAAGACTGAGTTTACTATTTGTTTTTTAGCATTAAAGTACCATTTATCATGACCTATAATGTTGACGGTAAATATAGTCTGTCTGTCTGTCTGTTGTCTATTAGTTTTCTACTGAAATCAAATAAGAAGTGAAAATGTATGTGATTAAGCTCCAAGAGAATTCTTTGTTGATTATTACTGATATTTCACTGTGAATATTTATATAAGAGGCAGACAAAGTAAAACTGTTATTAAATTGACGAAGAAATATGGTGAAAATTGATTTAATAGAGAATATAAATCGATACCTGATGATAAGTACTGGATCTTTTCTTCTTTTATTTGGGTTTATTGGTAATATGTTGATTATTTTGGTATTCATAAGTCGAAATGGTCGATTTCAGAGAGGCCCTTGCAGTCTTTATTTTATTGCAATGTCAATTGTCAAAAATATTCATCTCGGTTTTAATCTCCCATTTCTAATTATGTCGACTGGTTTTAAAATCGATCCAACGCTTACATCAATTGCTTATTGTAAAATACGCTACTATTTAGCTCAAGCGACGCTACCTCATATGATACGTACACTTGAATGTGCTGCTATAATTGGCCAATTTCTTGCTACTTCACGTCAAGTCTATTTTCGTAAACAAAATACACATACTATAGTACGTATCTGTATCTGTCTTATTGTTCTCTTTTGGTGTCTGCAAGGCGTACCCAATTTGATCTTATATAAAATTCAAATTGGATCAGCAAACCGCACAGCGGTCTGCAATTCATTTAATAAGCGTTTGAATGATTATACAACTTGGTTCTCGCGAATTCTGTCCATCTTTCTTTTTCCTTGTATTGTTTTGCCATTGTTCAGTTATTTAACATTGCGAAATGTTCGTCGTGTAACAAACGCTACAAATCGACAACACAAAATAGAACGAGATATGTCCTTAGTAAGTTTTTTTTTCAGTAGAATTTTGTCTCGTCATCGTATAGTATATATCGTTTATTTTTCTTAACAGTTACTGATTATTCAAACAACATTTTATGTGGTCATTTGTATTCCATTTGGTATTTGGACTTTATATGCATCATTTACGACAAACGTTCGGAAAGATTCAAACAAAATCGCAATCGAACGATTAATTCAAACTATAATGTATATCATAATAAACAGCACTTTTGCGAACAGGTATATAAACATACAAATCTATATATATAATTAGATTTATATAAACGATCATTTGTCACTTTAGTTTCTATCTTTTCTATGCAACATCTACAAGATTTCGAAAACAATTCAAGATAATATTTCGAGCGGTGTTCTGTCGGGCCCAAAGATCTGAACATAATCAACCATTATCGAGCACTATCAATATTACCTGAATCGATGTTTGAGATAGAATATCATAACCAATGAGGAAAAAGCAGATTTTATTGTGCTGATACATTATAATTTTCGAGAAATAAAAAACACACAATTTAATTAGTTCTTTGCCATTATATGATCAATGTTTTAGAACAACGATTCAACTAAGCGTATTATATTTAACCAAGTAGATTTACAAAAATAAAAACATTTCTTGATTAACGATTGCATAAATTTTCGAAACATCTTTCTATAAGCATAATTGACATAGAAAGCTATGCTAAAATTCATATAATAATGTAAAGTGCTTACTTTGGTAGTGATAAATTACCTGGAAGGCAAATAGAGTCATGAACATGCTGAAGATTCGATAAATAGTTTATGACGTTGTCTGTGTGAAAAATGCAGAGTTCGAACGTGAGCAGACCTTCGTCTCTAAACTGGTACTTTCTCTCTGAAGCATTGATGAGATCTTCGTCGCACTCTTATTTTTGTGCTCTGCCATCTGATCACGCCACCGAAGCAATCACACCCTCACCCACACCACCCCACACCCTGCTTATATATTAGGAGGGATTGAGAAAAAGAGTTGTCAAAGATGATTTTGCCATTCACATAGTTCCCATGTGTATCAAATTGATTGAGAAGATCAACTAATTGAAAGTTGGACATTGTCAACATCTTAACTATACTTACGGAATTATCTTTTATCGGAAGATATCAATTACTTTTATTGTCACAATATAGGATCAAAATAAGTAATTAAAGAAGTACAAAAAGAACACAACATGATAGTTTCATTTTCTTAGAATGAACAACGATAATTTTTTCGATTAATAATTCATGTTAAGGAGCAAATGTCTGGGGTGCACCTTTCATGGATTCAAAAACCCTGTAGTCACTGAAAATATGTGTTGCGTGATGCTATTACTATTATTTTACCTTTTGTTACTAATGATTTTTCCAACTTGATTTATTTTGTTCTTGCTATGATATGGTGATAAACCAGTTTTTAGCTATTATCTTTTCTTTTGTGGAAAAAAACTGTGATATACAGCAATACAGTGATATAACGATAGAGGATTAATCGACAATTTCCTAATTAATTCTGAGTGAAATACAGATTATACCATCAAAGATCGCTGTGTAATGAATTTAGCTGATACAATTGTTCACTGTAATCGCCTCAATCATTGTATTAGCTATCTTATAATCATGAAAAGTAAAAGTTTTCATTCAAGTTTGAATAGAAATAGAATGATATTAGTTTATCTTAGTGGATTTGAAACATCTTATGGTAAATTTAATTAAGTAAAGCAGCATGCGAATTTGAGAGGAAAGAATAAACGACATCCATACGTTCACCGTTGTTCGCAATCTTTCATCATATCTTTTTAAGTCGTTTTATTATATTTCAAACACAACACATTTATATAATGAGAAAATAAATATGTTAGAACGATAGCGAGAGATAATTGACACATTACAGAACTCATTAGTAACGAAATTACGAACACCATCAGATAAAGAGAAGACATGAAAAGAAATGAATTCATCTATTTAAAATGCTATGTTTAGTCATGCCGATTGAAACAATAGAGTCTATTCATTAATGATTTCAAAGATTTTCGACAATTTTTTCGAAATATATCACTACAAAAGCAATAAATATAAAAAGACATGCCTTGTTTTACGGTATAAAGTATAATGCTCAGTTGTATGACAAAATGTTCAATTTGTTGCCGTTCAATACTTTTCTCTATTGAATTAGTAATTAAATTGTATGTAGCTGTAATATTACGTTGCACTTCTAATATTATATCCACCAAAGCCTCTATAAATATTAGAATAAGTAATTGTCGATTCATTTTCTGAACCGCAGATGTTGCATTACTTGCACCAGAATCTGGATTAATACGATTTGTCATTTGTCGCATATTTATCCATGTAATTATACCACAAATTAACATACCACCATGAGGAATCAGAGTAATAAAAATATTTGCATAAACAATAACAGCGATCGATCCTAGACCAGGGGCTGATGTACACATACCATTGTAAAGATCATAGACAATCAGAGAAAAGATACTTGAAATTAAGAGAAATAACACTGTTATAATTAAAAGACGTTGAGCTAATGACCAATTACTCAGTTGTCGGTAACGTACAGTTCGTGATGTTGAGAAACATCGATCGAGTGTTGATAAGAACAGGCAAGTTGCTGTTATTGCTGCTGAACATACCGAAATATAACCAAATATTTTGCACATTGGACGATTTGTCTGTATAATATTCACTCCTGAATATTGTGCTACCAGATAAATGATAAGATAAAGATTAGCGAAACATATATTAATTGACGAAGAAAAAATCAGATAAAGTATGCAAGCTTTTGTTCGATAATCTTGGGATAAAAATGTAACAATATTCAATATGTTTCCAATTGTACCCATGACTAATATGATAATGAAACTGATAAGAGTTATAGCATTTATTATTTCTACCAATGATGCCATATTAATTTTTAAAAATATTCCAAATAAATTTCAAGTTTAATATGAAGATAAATTGAATTTCTAATGTATTTTCTCTATGTAAACTAATGTTAAAGAATTCTTCGGATCCTTTCAAGAAATAGAAGTCTTTTTCTTTTGAGTACCAGTAAAGATTTATCTATAATGAAGTGCAATAGAAATGTCAATGAGAAAGAAGAACGAACAGAAGTGGTCTACTGGATAAAGCAAAAGTCTTACGACACTTTTCCTATTGCATATGTCTCGGTTCAGGAGGATAAAAAATGTTGATCTCTTTTTAAAATTCACCAAATTATATACAAATTCCTAAAAACTTTGATCTAGAATACTAAAACTGAATATTTTACAAGTTGCTTAATATAATCATATCAATTGCGTTTACTTCCTATCTATTCTTTCTGTGAGAGTAAATCTCTTATCCTTAAACTATACTGTATACCTGAATGGCTTTTAGAATCCTTTTGTGCATTGAATATATATTCGACATCTTTAAATTTTTATTGTTTTGTTTGGATATTTGCCATATTTCGAAAACAATGCAATCTTCATAGGTGGCTTATTCTCTTCAAAGAGAATGATTTAGATAAATATCGAATGTAATCATAGAATTGCCAACAATTCTGAAAGAGTATTTGTTATATATCCAAATCAGGAATAGTGAGTATTTACGTATGTAACTCGGAAAACTTTAAGAAATTTTAAAAAGTGAGTAGGAAGCAAACGCAGTTAACATGATTATGTACAAAACAACCTGTAAAATGTTGAATTCTTTTATTCTAGATTAACTTTTATAGAAATTTGTATATAAATTGGTGTATTTTTAACAAGAGATCAATATTTTGTTATCCTCCTAGACCGAGACATATATGAAAGAAAGAAAATGTCGCAGATCTTTTGTTTAATTTAGTATGAAGAAATTCTTCATGCATAAAACTCGTAAAATTCAAAGTAGAAATTATCTTCGTAGCAGTCATTTTGTTATATTACAATAATGTCTGGAGTATGAATAATTCACTCAAATGTGTTTACGCATTTTATGTCACTTAGCTAATTAGCGCAAGACTTACAGGAACTTTCAATAGATATTTTAAATAGAAAATAACCTAGATCCAACAAAACTATTCACATCTTTATTGAAAAGACAATTTTTTTGGATGTAGTTGTGGATTGCGATGTGAGCAGCAGAAAATAGATGTTTCAGACGTTTACACATCACTGAGGAAAAAATTAATTGCATCAATAACAAATTACGAACATGGAAATCGTTCAAACTTTCTAAATATGAAATATTCTCGGAAAATGTTGAACGAGAAGGAACCTGACCTATCTATAGCAGTAGTTAATTAAAGAAGATCTATTGATGGTTATCATATTAAACAAAAGATTGTCAATAGTTTATTACAAACCATCTTGAGGGTGTGGGTGGGCGTGTGAGCGTGGATGGAGGTCTTCGACGATTCTATGGATATGTCTGTGAAGATGGCTGATAGGAATCGCGGACCGGAGGCTTTTTCCCTTGAGCTGTAGATTTTAGTTTGGTTTGGCGTTTAGTTCGTGTTTATTTGTGCATAAAGGAAAATGAAGTTGATATGGGGTTCGAATGGCTAGGAGTAGTGTTAGAATGCAGTTGGAGTGGCTGGGGTTTTCCAACTTTTATTCAACTTAAACTGATCTTAGGAGTAGCAATAGAACGACAAGTAAACGTATGCATTACCGCAGCTGAATGCAGTGAAAGCGAAAAATAAAGATATCAAAAGATGCATTAGCTAAATTCACATGTGTCGAATGTAATCCTAATCCATTGAAGTAAATCTATCGCATCTGTGGGAATTGTGGAAAGACAAAGAAATAAAACTTCTGCAAGTAATTGATGATTATTATTGATGTTTGAAGTGAATTTAAATTAATGTTAAAAATATTCTTTTGTAGTTGAGTATTTGTTCCATTTGGATTCATAAATCGGAGTTGGAGTTGGTTGCTCGCGGAGTTGCCTGTTTCTGGATGGAATAGCGAGTAGTCTCGTGGTAGCGAAGTTGATGGGCTTAATGAATGTAGGTGAGGGTAAGGATACCTGGCAAGAGATATTAACTTACAGGAGACCGAAATTGATGATTGACGTTCTATATTTTTGACTGTTGTGTATGGTTGTTATACTGTTCGATTGAAGTAGCCCTTGTGCTTATTGTATTGCGTGATCGCTTCTTTCTCTTTATTGCATGTTGGATTGATGGTATAGAATTGAAGTTGTTATATGCCCCTCCAAAAAGACTAGGAAAAATTCAGTATTTTGTTTTCGAAAGTTAAGTGAGTTGGCACGACAAACGCTACTTGTCCATTTCCGGTAGTAGTAATGATAATCGATAAAGATCTATTATCGATATTGATAAGACTTGTACCAGTAGTTAGTGAAAAATTACGAAATCTGAGAAAAGAACAATACATATTGGTTTTCTATGACTATACACAATACCCATCATGACCACACAGAATCAGATTTCTTTCGTGATCCTTAGTCGCATCATTGGCATGGGAAAAACCAAAATTTTCAGCTATTATATCAGCATCATCGTTCGACAAAATTTTATTGTTTGTTGCAAAATGTAGACGCAAACTAAGGTAATGCGTGTGGGTAACAACTGATCATTGGTCACTTTCTGTTTCCTTTCCACCAATTGAAGCAGGTTTGAGATCAATGGATGCAAACATTTTCTTCACTTTATAAGGTGCCTTCTCCATTTGTTTGAAACAATGGGTTTTTTTCACTTCCTTTAAAGATAAAAATAAAGTATCCCAGATTATGTACGACCTTTATATATTTACCACTCGCTCCGAGCAACCAAAGATAAAGATGAACAGGTAGACGATCAGAATTAATATAGCTGGTGTAAAACTGAATTTTGTGTAAAGTGTGATAAAGGGCCCAGAGATAAGAAAAAAAGTTAAATATGGCTGAAAACTGTATGTTTCCTTGTAGGTGTTCAGAAGTAAAGTATGCTCTTCATCAAGAATATCACTCGTATTCATGTTCATTTGCGATGCTGTTCGCACATTCTTTGAAATCATTTCAGATAATGTTTTATCATAAGAGAAAATAAAAGGCAAATAAATGAATTTCCATGATGTATATCAAAACCCTTATGTAAATGTAACTGCGAATAGGTCTCAAACCATTTCAAAAAGTTGCTCAGTAGAACCGTTTTCAATCGAAATATATGCCGCATTGGCATGCGTGAGGTTTATATATATACGCCGAGGATCAAAAGCAAGGTCCTAGATATTTCGTGCAAGCACTTATCCGATTCAGTATGACAACCTTCGAAAAGAAGCCATGAAAGCAATTGTATATTTCATGTCCTCGATTTGAATGGAACGTATATAGCATGTGTAGAAGCAGGCATTAAAATACATTACCATATGATAATCATATGATTAAGTGCAGAAAAGAAGGAGATAGATAGATAGTGAAGGAGAACGAGAAACGTACTAAATAACATATGATCCGCTAACATACTTATTGTCATCTAAGTGATCGAAACGAAAGAAAGCAACAAATTGTGTACGAGCACGATCGTCATCGATTTCCTACTGGTGCAAATTTTACAATTACTTGATAGCCTTCCCAAATATCTTCCAAATATACTTTTATTTATTCATTTCCTTTACAAAGAATCATAAGCTTCCGCTTTTCGACCAACCGTTATCATATTACTCAGATAGATTTACAACGTTTCAGTGAAACTCATATCGTAATTGCGACACTACTAAGAAATCTATTCGTCATTTTAGTGGAGCAGAGCAATAATTTTCGTTTCTCGATATATTAATTTACTTTAATATCATACGCGAACTCCGAAACACAATACAAGTAGATTTCTGAATTCTTCTTTTCTGTGTGATTTCTAAAGAGAGATACTAGGAAATCAGAAATCAGAAATTAGGTGAAAACTGGTGACGATTGAAATTTTGGCACGCTCTCAAGCCATCTATTAAGAAAGAAAACAAATCGAAAAAGGGAGCTGGTATTTTTTTACATGAGTAGATCCTACTGAGTGTTAACAATCTTTATTAACATTTTAGCCTATGATTAGCAGAGAGAGAGAGAGAGAGAGAGACAGAGGACCTCGAAATCGATATTTGACAGAGACCGAATTCATACAGATACACAAGAATTCGTTTATATCTATCACATTTCATCTATAGCTTCATTATCATCCACCGGCTTGCTTAGCTGATAACAATGTCAAGCCACTGTTATCATCGTGTTTGCACAGCAAGGTAAAAAGCCCACATGTTCTATTCATCACAGTATAGAAACAGCAAGTAAGATTTGTCAACATCTACAGAGCTCGATTGCCATTTTCTCTCCTACATTCTAACTCCAAACGGAAAGCGTTACCATTGGAAGGATTTACAGAATAGAGCTTGTATAGCACTATACTTATACGACTTCTAGATACAGCGCAACATTTGATATTAGAAAACTGGTCATATTGAATATATGGAATTAGGTGGTGAAATCACCCGACAGGCCATCGGTCGTCACGGATTCATTGGATCGCTTTATGACGTAAGAACCGATAAATTCGAAGGAGGAAGTTTATTTAATAAACAACTTCCTTCGTCGCCGTTCATTGAATCGGCTGATGGTGGACATGCAAGCTACTGTATAGATTCCAACAATTCGCAAAAAGAAACATTCGATAAATTGAACATCGAAGCTGGACTGAAATTGAGTCTAATGGGTGGTTTAGTAAGCGTTGAAGGATCAGCTAAATATTTGGCTCAAACAAAAATCAACAGTCGAACAGTTCGCGTCACGTTTTTATATGAAACTCAAACAAAGAAAGAATGCTTGCTGATTTCAATGGCTGATTTACATCAATATTTTTCGCCAGCCGCTCTAGAAAATCCTGATGCTACCCATGTCGTCATTGGAATTACATGGGGAGCAAGAGTAGTCGCTACATTCGAGCAAACAGTACAAAGTTCCGATAAAGTAGAAAAACTCGAAGGACTTCTTTCGGCTTCTTTGATCAAGGCAAGTGCACCAAGTGGCCAAGGTAAAGCTGAATACGAACACAAAGAGAATCAACAACTTGAATCGTTGAAAATAAGTTTTTCCGGCGATGTCATAGTTCCCGAATGTCCTCAGACTATTGAAGGTGTGATGAACATATGTAAAACGGCTCCAACCCTAATTCGAAATCTTAATGGCGGAAAAGGACAACAACTTCGGTTCATTCTCTACCCATTGAAAAAAATGGCGCAGATTTTCAATCATGAATTACGTATCGAACGGTATGAAATCACAGTCATGATTTATGTTCATAATTTCGATTTCTGTACTTCTAGATTAATAAGAGAAGTCAACGATCATACAATCATGCGCATTGAGGGCGTATTTGAACAAATATCGGTTGCAAAAAGAACTTTGAATGATTTTATTGCCGACATTGAACCATGGAAAGATGCGATTTGTTCGGAATGGCTTCATGTTATTCGACAAAAGCAGTTAAAATTTATTGAAAACGAACTTAAAATACAACATCAATTGGCTAAATTACTTGAACAAGTTCGTCGAAGTTTAGCCCAAGAGTCCGAAATGGAACAACTACTAGATAAATTCGATGAAGATAATCCATGTTCTGTCAAAGCAATTCAACAAGTTTTGAAAGAGAATCAACGAATCAAATCAAAGATTAAAACATTAGAAAAATTGCATGCAATACTAAATCCGTATGGGCAAGATCATTTTCAGAAGCAAATCACATCAATAGAAGAATTAATACTTGATTTCTATGATAATGATGTGTATCTATTGCATATTTGTGACGAATGGCAGACAAAAAATAAACAACATTGGCCTAAATTATTAAGATTCCTTTCGAATTTAATACAAACTGAACATGAAACAAAGGATTCCAGTGCCATTTTTCGAGTGATTGATCACGATTTACATGCTGATTTAGATGACAAACCGGATCAATGCGTCATTTTCTATGCTAAGCAAGGAATAATTGAATCTCGGAATTTCTATCAAGATTCTTTACGTAAGTTAGACTTTCGAGGATTCCGAAAAGAAATGTATTATACGCATACAGATTAGATCTATAGATAAGTTCTCTCTATTTAGAGAGCATTTTGCCGAAACAAATAAAATTAATTCGAAAACAAAATCCAAGTCTTTCCGAAACTGCCGTTTTGGAATTGCATAACAAATTCATTGGTCGAAGGTAATAACATACAATGTTTGAAAGATATACACTTTCACTGTATTCATCATCTTCATCATTATAGTCCAACTGGCGAGCTGACAAAAGCGATGTTGATTGCTGCACTCAAAGAAGTTTATTCAAAGTATTAGTCTTACAAACAGCAATTCTGATGATAATATATACGAATATTTACATCTAGAGGAAATGTAACGAATTATTGCAATTATGCATTCTCTAAAATCGATAAGGACAAAAGCGGTACAATTACGTTTGTGGAATTCATGTCGGCCATTGCTCTAACGCAACCAGATAACGTCGACAAACGCCTCGAAATGGTATGTGTTACAAAAGATTTCTTTTCTTTTTTAAATAATCTATTCGAGAGGATTTGTTTGTCTTTTCTAGGTATTTTTCATGTGCGATGAGGACAATTCCAATGCCATTGATGCTCAAGAAATAATAAAGTTTATCGAAGTCATTTCAGAGTTAGAAGATGAAAAGAACGCGATTGATATCAGTACTGCAGGATCAATTGTCACAAAAATGGTGGAAATCTGCGGAAAGAGTCCAGACGATAATTTTACAAAAGAAGAGTTTCTACGATGGTACGATTTGTTTCAAAAGTTCTCGACATCAGTACACTTGAGAGGATCTATTCTTTTAGCTGTAAAACGAACGAGCTGGTGTGTGCAGCATTCCTACCCAACACAGCAAGTAAGTAACATTCAGACCGCTTTTCAATAGAATCAATTCTATATGACAAGAAATCTATCGAGTCCTCATAAACTAATCAGAGTGTATTTATTATACACTTTCTATTAGAAACAAATGTCAAGCCTGCTATCAGTGAGTCGACTAAAACGGAGTCTTCAATGCCAATCAATACACTTACACTCGATCATCTTAATGTTAATCTACTGAAAGACGACCAATGGATTAAAACTAACTTTTCTCTCGAAAACATACCAGATGGATGTGAACCTCTATACGATGAATCCAATCAAACTGTACCCGCATGGGCTACGTCTTACCAGCTGGGGACATTCAAACAGGATCATATCAAATTGTTCGATGATACTCAATCACCAGTAAGTTTACTAATGTTACTCTAGAAATCACCTCAAGATACTTAAATACTCAATGTTCTAGTTGCTCTCTCTTCGTCCTGTAGTCGAATTTTCGGTATGTATTGCTGCACGCAAAGATTGTGGCGCAAAAGCCACACTCTCGCTTACATTTTCCGATGGTCACATATGGAATTGCAAAAGAGAATATAAACAATGGAATGACGGACGTTGGCATAGAATAACATATCGTTATTCACAATACAAGACTTTACCAATGGATGTTACAGTTGTGATGCAAGGAAGTGATACGAAATATTGGGCCGGGTATTTTGGGATGAAATTTGCTCAACCTTGCCTTCAACTTGTGTTAAACAGCGGCATACAAGATAAAACACCGAAGGAAACGGATGTCATCATCAAATCACGATAGATATAAGAAGCACAGAAAACACGATAAGTTTCTCTTTGATGCTATGATTAAAACATTTTTTTATTCTGTATTGATTTACTTCTAACTTACCACTGAGTAATTCTTTGTTATCTTAGAAAAGATAGAATGCGGATCAAATACACTCAGTGTAAAAATTCTTCTAAAAAATAAAAGACTTTTTATTGGTCCTGAAGATGATAAAGAAAGCGTTGAAGTTCTTTTCATCTTATACTAAAGTTTGCCACTGTTAATGTTTTCTTAGACAATCTTAGGTACAGGTATAAATCTGAAAAGTAAAGAAGAATTTCAAAATACTATATTACGGTTTTGCTAATATAAATATTTTGCTTTGCATTTACCAAACTCATTTCCATTAAAGCAATATCTTCGCCATTGATACAGATCTCGTGTAATTCAAAAAACTACGCCTTCAACAGAAACACGCAATTATCATATGTGTTGAATCAGAATATTGACTTTTGTCGAGCCTGAAGATAATCAAACGCTTGTTTCGATTATCTTTGGTTATCCAGCAAAATTATATAAAAACACTATTGAACATGATCGAAAATTACAATATAGCATTGAATTTAAGAATATTCTTGAAATAATACACATATAAATTTGGTATTATTTTATTTTTCATAGGTATACCATTGACGACAAATGTGCCATTAAGTTTACAGTATATGGAAAAGACCCTGATGATGAAATAATAGCGACTGATTTCTTAGGAAATTTTTTTTCGAATAGCATTTCATCTGATACAAGAATAATTAAAAGTATGCGATCAATGCGTATGCTTAGTTCGATCTATGAGATTCAATTTATGCTCGTATGCTTATACTTAAACCTTTCTTTCTCGATCATCCCATATACAGGAACAATAAACGTTCGTTTCATTCATTTATCAACATCCTGCAGTTATTCAGTTTGTATTTAGCGTCTATATATTATATATAATGAAAAGAAAAATATAGATGTCTTTGAGAGTACTCAAATGAGTCCTTTATCGTCAATCGTATTTTTTACAATGCTCCTTCCTATATCAGTACAAGTCGTAACAAGTTATCGATATATTATATCATGCAATGTTCTTAATAAGCTGATATCTGATTTTTTCTGTTTACTCTCTTCCAAGCATTGTTCAAATGATCTCTAGTTTTACATGTTCAAAACCATAGTTTGCTTTATTAGTTTCATATAACTGTTCGACTGTTTGAACGTATGGACAATGAAGTTGATCGATATCGGTTTGAGTTGGATCAGTGATTTGATTGACATGAATCGACCTAGCAACTTATAGTATAAGATAGAATTTATTTTTTCTATTGACTATAATGAAAAAGAAAGGCCTGTCTTACCAATGGTCGTCACGGGGCGACGAAGAGATAGATAACCAACAATTGATTGTCCCCAAATCCATCGATTTGAAAGCCAATTCTTACCAATCGTACAAAACCTTTTCTCTCCTTCAAATATAATATCATCGTTTGGTATTCTGCGAAGTGCAATTCTCGCATACCACCAGTCACAATGACCACAGTATTACCTTGGCCAGCTGAGCCATTTAAGAAATCTTGGCAACTGCCTGGCGAGACACGACATGCACCTGTAAAAACGGAACATTTGATGACAAAGGTATAATGTTATCATCACCTAAATTAAGAAAGAATTCGCGTGAAAATGGAACGAGAAACTGGAAACGAAGAATCATCAAATGAGGACGAATACCAGGAAAGAGAGTTGAAAAATGTGTTGCTTCTGTTAGGAAATTAGCTGCACCATATGGGTGGTAACCAAAGATGTAATGTTTTGATTAATTTTATCGGAAAATAATTAGAAACTATGGACCCGATCAATCAAACTAATAAGTAATGTCATTGAAAAAGAGCAATAGTAGGATAGAAGAACAACTGTGAACAATATTAAAAAAGGTGCAAAAAGTATGATTGTGATAAGAAAGAATAAGACGAAGTCTTCAATCAATTCGTTCATTGCCATCTGAAATCAATTTCGAGAATTGATGAAAAGTAATCCTGGTTGTTGGTTTTCTTCTGTTGTTCTTCAAATATGAGTAATCTATCAGAGTCATATAGCGTCAGCCAAACAAAGATGTCCTCAATCATCGTCCCTGACTTTGACGTAAGTCTACATCTACATCTTTACAAAAAAATCATTCTCCGAAATATTATAAAGGAAACATTACAATTTGTTATTCTTTTATTTAAATGCAAAATCTTATTTATAGCCGATTTGGTCCCATAAATCGCAATCATCTTTCACATAGCTGTTTCCTAGTTGAAATGGATTTTCAATGAACAGATATGTTTCATTTCCATCTGTGTACTTTGGCCATACTAAAGGTACACTCGATGGATCATTTGGATTTTGACTTTTCGCAAAGTTTGTCCAATAAGTGCCCATGCCTTGCGATATGTATCGACCAATGTCAGTGAAACGTTGCCAAAATGATTGGAAGACATACGCGACTTCATCACCATGACAAGCATGATCAGGACAATTCAGTGTATTGACTTTGTTATACGGATAACCGAATACATACGAATATGATGCAGATTTTCGAGCGAAAAGACGAGTGGAACAAGTAAAGATCCATTCTGTCGCAATACGAACAATATTTGGTCGTTGATCACCTGAACTAAGTGGTGGATAGTGTTCAAGAACTTTTAGCGCTTGTTCTCCAAAGAGACCAATAGCCAACGCAGCGTATTCACTGATTGTTACACTTTTATTCCATGCAACATGTACCATATCGTAACATTCATCTGTTACTGTACCAATAATTAATGGTTTCAACGGAAATGAAACATTCTGAATTGTGTTAACAAGCGATCCATGAACAATATCATTATCAATCACTGGTAACCATGGTTCGAAGAAGGACAACGGATTCAACGAAGTGATCTTTTGATTAACTTGTGCTTGAGCAGTAATGATTTCATCAGCTGACCGAGACCGAAAACAGGTCAAATTGTTCGGAGAACAGTGCAATTGTTCAGCAAGAAGAACGGTCAGTGCCACATTGCCTAAATATGTTCTAAAGAATAACAAAGAACAAGTCTTCATTTCACTATTCATCTAGTTTCTTTACCTGAAAGGAACAGTCATTGGAGAACTTTGGATAATTGCTCGTTGAAAAAAGGGTTGCATTTCACTGGTTACATAATGAAGAGCAGTTGACTGCGCACCAGAACTTTGTCCGAATAGTGTAATCTGATTGGGGTCACCACCAAACGCATTGATGTTCTCTTTGACCCAAACAATAGCCATTCGTTGATCAAGTATTCCATAATTACCTTTGAGATCGTTAGGACCATTGCCAGTTGCCAAATATCCCAGAACTCCTAGAAACGCACGGCGAATGTTCGTTGATGATTTGGAACATATGTGCTACTTGCCTAATCGATATTGCATCAATACAATGACGACGTTTGTACTATTCACTAGACGCTCGGATTCGTAGATCGGATCTGATGGAGACAAATATTGAAAATCACCACCATGAATAAAGATCATTACTGGAAGAAGAGCTGCTAACGACAAGTTACTTGTTAATGGTGTGAAAATATTCAAATAAAGGCAATCTTCTGACGTCTAAGTATTAATTTGAAGCACGTGAGTTTTCTCTATTTCTTTTGTAAATTAGTGACTTACAACAGGCAGCGTAGGACATTTTATTGATCCTGTTGATGGTGGACAAGGAGGTTGTGGACAAACAGGTGCTGGTCGAGTAGCATTGATTATTTTCGGGGCCCATTTTGTAATAGGTACTGTTGATTGCCATCTACTCGAACATAATTACAAATTGCAAAAACGAATCGTATAGCTATGATACCTCAATGCACCCACAGGCGGTTGTGCAAATGGAATTCCATAGAAGACTCGAGACATATTCGTTTGATAACCCAATATGTCTCCATATTGAGTGTGGACAAGAGCGGGCTCATCAGCAAAGACGTTTGGTACGAAAAGGATCAGTATGAAAAACAACATCATTCGTTTCACAACTATATGCCGTTTGTTACTATAATACGAACGCGCACCTTGTTTGCTTTTTATAAGCAATTGATAAGCATGATGCTGTTATCTTTTGGAAAAAAAAATGTAACACATGAATTTGATCTTGTTTTTTATGTGATATGGGCAAAGATTCGTTTCTGCTAATAAAAAAAACGTATAGAAGATCAGTGAAAAGATATTTCAATCTAACTCGAGAGTAGCCTTTAACAATTATCAGCACTCAAGTACCGTCGAACTGAGTTGATTTCTGCATTCTCTACAGATATGCACAGAAATACAGTAGTTTGCAATAATCTAATAGTGCGAAAAAAGCCTTTCGCAGAAACGCGCCGTATTCACTTCGAGGTCAACAATAGAATCTCCAGCAGTCATGAAAGCAATTGAAAAAAAAAGTGTATTTATGATTAGCAGTAGACGTTACAACATGTATTGTAGAACAAATGGTGTCGACACTAAACGATACTCGAGTTTTTTGTGAACAAAGCAAATCCGCTTCCTGAGCCAATTGTATAATATCATCTGAACCGGAAACAGCTTATCCACATTCAAAGCAGATGTCTGAACTGTACTTGAAGAACGTAATGCGGCAGAAATAGAAAATGGAGCCCACTGCCGATTTTGACAATCTAATCAAACAGATACCCAGTGGACGAGACGATAATAATTTATATCAGACATATTATCGAAAAGGGAAAATCGATCCTGGCGAAACAGTTCCGAAAGGCACAAGCAGTAAAGATCCTGTGGTCATACGAAGAATAATCGAACATCAGGGGAGAGATAGTTTAGTGTCGGTACCAAATTCTGGGCGAAGTGTACGATGCGTTTTTGTTATTTTTCATGGTTTCCTTAATATCTTGCAAAGTGATGTTTTTTGTTCAGAAGCCCACGAAATATCCAGCAAAAAATTTTCACATTACTGTTGATACTTCAAATGCGATAAATGCTGCAAAAAATGTGCGAAATACGAATGGATCGACCTATGCAAATGAAACTATTCATGTAAACCTTGCGAAACTCGTAGAAGTCCTTGAAAAGATAAACTGCGTATTAATATAAAAACACGTGCTGTTGATAGTGGTACAAACGAAACAGTAGAGACAAATTGTATAGGAATATAGTGTCATCACGTAGCGGTCCAGCTCGCAAATTATACACAAGATAATGTTCTAATAAAAAGAATATTGTTTTTGATAGGGACAATTTGTAGACAAGAGGTTACACGAAGAAAGTGTGAAAGTAATAGTTGATAACGATAATTCCGATAAGTAACAAATTCTCGTTATGGTGACTGGAGATGGAAATAACAAGGAAGACCAAACAACTTTTCCAGAAGTCATAGAAGCAACATAGATAAGGTATTGGAGCGTCGAACTCCGGTCATGGTAACAAACATTGCATCGAGTCTAGATTGATCTTCGAAAAAGATTGTCAGATGAAATGGTTATTAGATGTTTAGATGATTGCAGACAACACATTTTATTTCTGAAAATAATTGTCCGCAAAGCGAATGCGACCCAGAAACTCGTTGATATAATTTTATAGTTCAACTGAAAGGGCCATTCAGCATTCAAGAACTAAATGCAAGAGTGACGTGTTCAACAATCTTGTTTCCCTTTTTTAGACAAAACTACTTTGCCATATTGAAGTGCGTGAAAACATATTAGTGCACTATAATATATAAAAAAAAGAAGGAGAAATAGAGTATTATCCTGGAAAGTGGTGAACAAAAGCAGAATAGTTTTTGCTAACAACGCACACCATTCGATCCTATCGATGATTTCAATATACACATCGCATTCTTTTATTTATATCTGCGCAATATTATTATTCACCTTCAACACTGTTTATTCTATTGTCGTTGGTCATATTTCTAACACAATTCTTTTGAATTCGAATATTGATACCGTGTATACAAATCTACCATGCACACAATGTGTATGTATGGCTTTAAAATTAAATACGATCGCATGGAACTGTGTATTAAGGAATGAAACTTGTCAATTATTTAAGAATCATTCATGGATTCGTGATCAGTTGGTACTAACCACCAATGGATCTTTCTTTTTTCGAAATTATAATGAATATCAGACAACAACAGGTAACTAGATCAAAGCCAATTTAATTATAATCATCTGCAGTTTTCTATTTCTTTATTTAGCAATAGTAGCTGTGACGACAGAGAGTTTAACGTAAGTTTCATCTGTAAATTGATTTAAATAGAATTCAATGTGACGTACAATCATAGGTCGATCACTACCACACAAATGTCAACTATAATAGAAAATCTTTGTACGTAAAATAAAAAATATTTTCAATGATAAAAGCATTATCCACTTTTCATGATTCTATACAAAGGTATCGATGGTAATTTACGTTGGAACACAACAGGTGAAACTGTATTCAAGTCGCGAAATATTACTAGTGGTTCGAGAGGTATTTATATCGACTTCGATGATACGATGTATATCGCAGACATGGATGTTGTATGGAAACTATTACCCAATAGAACAATGGTTACTGTTGTAGCTGGAACTTTAAATTCAACTGGACCGAACAGTACTCAGCTGAGTTATCCTCAAGATGTTTACGTGGATAGATACGGTAATATATATGTGACTGATTATTACAATAATCGCGTACAGAAATTTATTAATAATTCAGCAGTTGGAATTACAATTGCAGGCAACGGAACTTCTGGAACTGGATTGCATCAACTATATAATCCAACCTTCTTTGCTTTTGATTCGACAAACACATATTTCTATGTTGTTGATTATGGTAATAATCGTGTTCTGAAATTTCCTTCAAATTCTACTTCAGGTGGTAATGGAACTCTTGTAGCCGGTGTAAATAATTCTAGCAATCAAAACACATCATTCGACCAGCCTTCAGGTATTGCACTATCACCATCGCTCATCGATAATTTATTCATAACACTTTATGGTGAACATTCAGTAATACGTTGGACATCAAACACGTTTTCGGGTATTTTTGTAGCTGGTATTTCCGATGTGCCAGGTTCAAACTCGACTTTACTTAGAAATCCAAGAGGTATTAGAATTGACCATAACCTAAACATATTTGTTGCTGACGCTGGTAATCATAGGATACAGATGTTTTGTGCTGGTAGTCAAACGGGTATTACAGTTGCTGATTCAAACAACAGGCGAATTCAGAGATTTCTTAAAATCTAAATTGTATCTGATAATCTAGTAGACGCACGATGTACTATAATCGAGTCATAAACAAATAAACAAGAGATGCATCAATAGCAAAAGAAAAGCCAAAAAACTATTTCTTGTATTGTGAATATGAATGTAATCCGTAAAAATGTCGCAGTCTGAAGATTGGAATCAAATATTCATCGAGATAAAAGTCAGTTTTTCACTTACCTGCTGCGTGGAGAACATTTCGTGCACATCAAGTTCCGCTACAGAGTATTGAATATTAGCACATAGATTTTCTTAAATTAATATTCGAACAGGCTCAGTGTGCTCATCAGTAATTTCTTTTATTCAACAAAGTCATGGCAGAAAAGCTCACACGTCAAAATCTGTCTTCTCTTTCTACGCTTTTTTTCATAGAAACAATTGAATATAAACTGAAAAGAAAAGGAATCATTCATAGCAATAAAGCAAATATATTCAGTTCATTTTCCTATACCAGAAAAATCTTATGAACACTTGTTTATGGCTTTACTGACTAACCGTTGAAAATTCAACCAAGACAAATATCGAACCATGGTTTATTCCTTTTGATATTTGTATAGTTTCGCGCAACATTTTTCATAATTGTCTTTATTTCTGATGAAACATATTGAACAATTCCAATGATGCTCGTTGGCAATTCATGTTTCTCTGCACTTATGTTTGAAATTGCTCTGCTTATTGTGATCTCACTTGCTCTTAAAAAGGATCTCAAGCGGATTGAATATTATAATCCATTGTACGTTTTTAGACGATATTTCAGTCAAGTGACATGTGCTGCACAGAATTATTCTTTTCTATGACAAGCGATTCATCGATATTTATTAATTGTTTATTCATCTCGTTCGTTTTGGCATTCATATCTTGTCTATTTGTATATCATGGATTTTTGTTTTCGTCTTTCCAATGAAATATTTCCTCACTAGTGGAATTGTTTATAATGTTGACAATTAGGTATTTGAATTACATCATCAACGATTCTTTTCACTCATTCATACGTGAGTGAGTGTGCGATGGGACGAGATGCACTCACATCTGACCCTTCCCAATTGTTGCATTCAAATTGTAAATTACTCCTGCGTCGCCTGCGCGTCCTTATCACTATGCTTATGGTACATATTTTCCGCTCCCTATTTTTTCCTTCTTCTCTTATATTGAGTTTATGCTTCATTATGCAATATAATCAACTGAAGTGACGTAGTTTGTTTTGCCGTATGCTTCTGAAATCTAACAAAAACAGTACACCTGTGCCTGTTAGTTTTTCAAGCATATTAGAAAGTAAATATGGACGCTGTATATGATTGATAGTACATGACTTTAGATAGTGCTTCGTTTTTTTTTTCTCATCAATAAAAATGCACAATCACATTTATAGTCGAAAGAAATATATATTTACTTCCCGCAAATAGTTGTGCAGTTAAAATAACATAAAATGTTTCGATATTCTACCGTTCAATTACAACAATATAGTAGATATCAAGGTGATCGTCGTGGAGTAGCTAGAAGACTTGGAAATGGTGCTCGTCAAGAAGCTTTAGATATTGGTTATGGAACTACTGCAGAGTTGGAAACTATTGGTGGATTCGGTAACACATTACGCAATCGCACAGGAGTCACCGTCATTGTCCAATGGGCACCACCATTTAGTACGGCTTACCAACAATTTATCGGTGGAAACATGCGTAGTTTTCCCATGGCTCGAATGGGAAATATGACCGGTCATCCAATAGGTGGTATGGGAAATTACGGAGGAATGCAAGGAGTGCCATACAACTTTAGTTAAAAAACAAATGAAAGACATCATAATTTACTGAATACGGTGAGGATGGGCATGACAAGCAGGAAAATACCCACCTCCTCACTCTTTCGTAAAAATTCACTTTAGTCGTCGTTACCTTCTGTTTCTCAAGGCAATATACATTGATCTAGCTATTCAGCTAGAACTTCTCATACTGTTTTCTCTACTGACATCGAATATTATAAAAAAAAAACATCATGGTTAATATTAATATTTTTCTTGTATACTTACTAAACGATTGTAGTTTTTTTTACTAATAATCCTAACATATGCTAGGGAAACACTTTGGCGAGTAGATAAGAAAATGAAATTTATATAGACTCTTCAACTGCTTTGTTTGCAAATAAATTTACATTCTATATTTAATATTTGAAAATACTATGTAGAGCTGATAATCAGAGCTGAATATCGGGTGGAATAGGCATTATATACAGGTACCTTTCATAGAATAACAGTATTTTTTTAAATGACATCTGGAATGGTTTAATGAAGAAGCAAACAAAGTCATTTTGTGGAATATATGCATGTGAGCAACTTGCGAGTTTCATGTGCCCACTGTATAATCATCTTCATCTTTTATCTTCTTTTCAATTAATTAAAGAAGTTGAATGATTTTAGATAGCTTAGTCTTTGTAACACAATATCTGAATGATGAATCGTAACAAAATAGGAGTCCGTGATGTAAGGTTTTAGTCCTTGTATATGAGCAAAAAAAGGTGATTTCTGTTCTTTTTGCATTATATTCTAGTCGTCCGCATCGATGGATCCGAATATGACAGAATCATCAACCATTCCACTCCAAACACGGTATGTGCAGCCCATGAATGGCAATTCCTGGTTTAGCTGAATTATTATTTTAGACGCGAGAGTATTTGGAAGAAAAAATTCATTTTGTTCATAGCTTTTGGTATAGCTCTTATATTAACCGCAAGTATTCCAGCGGTTAATATTTTACTGAAGAATAAAGATACTACAGATACGCCAACGACGAACATAACGTCAACGACATCCTTAGTATACACGGTGCCAACAACATCAACAATAGTGAATACGACGTCAACAGCATCAACAGTACGGGCGACGATAACAACACCAACAGTGAATACGACATCGGGAGTACCATCAGTATACACGGTAGCAACAACTTCAAGATCGATAATAACAACGCTAACAGAAGGTATGTTTTTATAAAACAAACTAAATAATTTCTTGTAAGCTTATTGAGGGGTCCTATGAAATAGATATGTGTGAATATGAGTTGGATTTAAGGTGGTATAGAAACGTAAGAGGATAGTGTGAATTCTATTTGAAAAATTCGTTAAATATGTAATTAATAAATTAGATTTTTACCGTGTAAATCTTCATTTTCTAGAGCATCTGCTACCTTCTGCTCACAATTATACTAGTCTTAAATGGACACAAAATGCGAGCACTGTTGCAGGAGGACATGGAAGTGGTAGTAAATTAAATCAGTTGTCGAAACCATATGGCATCGCGATTGTTGATGACGATGAACATCAAATGATTTACGTTACTGATCACGACAATCATCGAATCATGGCATGGGGATTTAATTCAAGCGAAGGGCAGATTGTTGCCGGTGGCAACTTGCAGGGAACTGGTATACATCAATTAAGTCAACCGACAGACGTGATTTTCGATAAGAAGTACGATTCCCTCATCATTTGTGATAAAGGAAATAAACGCATAGTGCGATGGTTTCGTCAGAAGAAAACTCCCGAAATAATTATTCCGTCCGTCGATTGCTGGTCGTTAGCTATGGATAATGATCGAAATCTATATGTTTCTCGGTATTTAGAACGAGAAATAAGACGATATACCGAAAATGATACGAATGGAACACAGCTCACAATTGGATACAACAATTCAATACGATTCAATGAGCCTGCCTATATTTTTGTGAATGAGAACCGTTCGATTTATATATCAGATTGGGGACATCATCGAGTAATAAAACAGATGATAAACGTGCTATCGAACAGTATCGTTGCCGGTGGAAATGGTTTTGGGAAAGATGATCATAAACTAACGTATCCTCAAGGATTATTCGTTGATCATATGAATAATCTTTATGTAGTAGACGGAGGGAATGATCGAGTAATGCGCTGGTGTAAAGGATGTGAAACGGGTGAGAAGGTTGTTGGTGGTAATGGAGGGGGAAACCAAGCAAATCAATTTAATGGTCCCAAAGATTTGGCATTTGATCGAAAACATAATCTTTATGTTGTCGATCGCGATAATCATCGAGTGCAGAGATTCGATGTTTATGTCAATTGAACGAGATCGCTTCCGCTTGATCGTATATTTACTGCTGCTTATCTATTTGATTTTGGGCTAAAATAAAATTTGTAAAATCGAAACACATTGTTTTTGTTGATCGTGAACTATTAGAATGTGATTTTTTCTTGTCGATTATCTTGAGAATGAGATTGTGAGCATCCTCCCTCACTCTTAAGCTTGAAACAAATTCAACATTATTTGTTGTTTATTCGGTTGTAATCGATCAGCAATATCAGATTCAAATCAATTAAACTATCTATCGAGTGTAAGCTCTGATTCGTATGACAATCTTTTGTTTGGTTTAGAATAACAAATGACGGTAAACATGAATATTACATGAAAATATCATACAGCATCGATACCATCGGATGGAAAAGTACTGCTCAATAATGAATACAACACCAGTCACCTAGATATTTCTGTAGAATTCTGTTAAAGAAAAAAATTGAAACGTTTGACGAGAAATTCTTGAATTTTCTCAAACAATTCTGTTCACGACTGTCAACGAATTTAATTTCCAGGCCAAGTTTAACACACAATGCTTTAAAACTCAAGTCTTTTACGGATAGGAAAACTACGGTTTTACTCTAAATTGAATCGTCTTATATGTGTCTTCATTATGAATAATAACGAGACTTTTTTTTTGGTAACTCGACACATCGATCGTTTCTATGATGTGGACGTATCTCATTCAGTTGGTGCTTGTCGACGATGAGAAACCTGATGCTACTGTTACAAATTCGATTTCTAATTATGCTGATATTGTTTCATATCGTTAGTTTTATTTCAGCAACAAACGCAATTTAATTCAGCTCTTTTGACTTCACTTATTGTAGATAATAATAAGCAAAACATCGACTCATGCACATTTTCTTTCGTTTTCATCTATTATATAAAACTCAGTTCAACAGGTGACTCGGTAGACAACTTGGTATTGAAATTTCAAAAAAGAACTCGACATTCTTTTGAAAAATATGATTTCCTCATAATTGCTTCTCATTTTTAATATAGTTGAAAGAGAAAATGCTCTTGTTTTCAAATCTCATTTGATTACTAATAGCACCTTGTTATTTTTTCATTCAGTGTAATCGTGCATATAATTAATTGAAAAATAATGCAGAACTCTAGACGGGAGAATGTTTCACTGTTTCAATTTCTTCGGACGTTATCGCAACGGAATGTGAATATATCGCTTTCATCTAGGATGAAATGCATTTTGGCAACGAGAAAATAACCGTGGAGCGATGAGCAAATCAACTGAAAAAAATTGATGCAGTTCGTGATTTACGATATATCATCAAAAAATCAGTCTATGTCAGTTTATCAAAATCTGTAATGCTGTTATACAGTAATTTTCATAAAAGTGTGTGCTTCAGTAGACTCACTGAAACTATATTAGCGACAGTTTCTCCATATTTAGGTTAAAACTGCATATTTCGAAGAAAAAGTTTGATGAAAGTTGAGGTGTCACTTTTCATCTTGATTTGCTTCGCTCTATTTTGAGCTCTGAGAGAATGTCGACGCTTTTTTTTTCTTATTATCGAATAAATATGAAATATAAGCACAACTATTGTTAAGAAAAACTTCCGTGCAACATGCCTTGGATCGTTCTTCTTTTCTTACTCTTTTCTACTAGTCGAGCAGTTCGCATGTATAAAATAAACAATTGTACAATGATCGGTACAGCACATCGAACAATATTCAATGTCACACAAGATAACTGTATTTGTGAAATGCTCTCATTCAATGGATCATTCTCTGCGATGAATTATTTTCCTATCAATCAAACTTGTCAATTATTTATTTCGGATAATAATTCGATCGTTGTAGAATTTTATTTGCCTTCATCGTTGATACTTATCAATAGAACAGCGATATCATTAATACGATATAGTAAGTTCGTCAGGTTTTCAATTTGTTATGAATGTGTCAAGATGACATAGAAATTCATCAATTGATTACGATTTAGATAGAATACTTTGCTCGTATATTGCTGTTTTCTTTTATAGTCAACCAAGCGACGTCATCAACAGCAGGGCCTTCTTCAACAATGTTAACTACAACGATCGGTTTGTAATATATTTCTAAAAAAGACTATTCTATTTTTCATTCTTAGGGTGCAATCAAACGTTTCGTAATTACACAACTTATTCAATGGGTAGTGGTACGAATTATGTAGCCGTAAGTGATATCGATAGTGACATGAAACCTGATATTCTTACAGTTAATACTGGTTCAAATAATATCGGTGTTCGTCTAAAACAAAGGTGATAATACATTTTCTTCTTCAACATTTTATGCAGTCAACAGTCAACCATTTGCAATAGCCGTCGCCGATCTTAATAATGATACTTACCCCGATGTTATTGTTACAAATCCTGGATCAAACAATATTGGTATTCTTATGAACAATGGTAATGGAACATTTCGTTCTCAATATACTTTATACTCGAATTCAAATCCACATCCATTAGCAATAGCCGATTTAGATAATGATAATCAACCTGATATTCTTTATTCAACATGGTCTAAAACTACCGTGGGCGTGTTTTTTAATCAAGGTAATGGAACATTTTCTTCTGAATCTGACTATGCAACTGGTGATTATCCATTCGCAATTGAAGTATCTGATGTCAATAAAGATAATCAACCTGATATAATCACAGTAAATCAGAATTCAAATAGTGTCATCATTCTGATCAATCAAGGGAACCGAACATTTCTTCATCAGTCAACAATATCAGTTGGCAATGGCCCATATTCATTAGCAGTTGCCGATATTGATGGTGATAATATTGTAGATATTGCTGTCGGCAATAAAAATGCCGATACAGTTAGTGTTTTAATTAATCGTGGTAATGGTACATTTCTCAATCATGTCGTTTATAATGTCGGTAGTTCTCCATACGCTGTAAAAATCCATGACATAAATCTTGATAACTATCCCGATATTATTGTTGTAAATTATAATTCAAAAACTATCGGTATTCTTTTAAATAAAGATGATGGAACATTTTTCAGCCAAATTACTTTTCCAGTCGGTACCCAACCAACATCATTGGCAGTTGTCGATGTTAATGATGATAATAAACCTGACGTTATCGTTACGAATTCTGGCGATAGTAATGTTGGTGTTCTCTTACATTGTTAATTTTTTGTATTTGATGACATCAAACTCATTTTATTTATTTCAACAAATACCAACTTCATGAATGAATCTCTCTGGTGATATTATCTATACCCACATCGGAAACGTTTTAATCAGCCATTTTTATTAAGTTATATCGTCATTACCAAGTCAGTCGTACGATGCCATTGATTCTTCTTTCTAATATAGTCCGTCAATTGTTTTAGTTATTGATCATTATCACTAGTCAATATAAAATTGACTTCCCCCAAAACCGATCTTTCATTTGTTTGATTCCACCTATACGAAAACTCCTATTTCTTGTGATCTTTGTTTAACCAAACTGACAGTTGATTTGCTAATGAAAAAATATAGCAAAAAATCCACAAAAAGAATATATATGATACCATTATTGTGTTGTATTTCTAAGTGAACATAATGAGAATGCAGATAAAAAAGACACTAATGTATTTCGTATAAATATATCTTTATCCTTCATTAATATGAATCATTTACGTGACGCACTTGTGTTTAAACAATGTATTATTCAAAAGCAAAGGCACAAAACACATTTGATAAACAACTTTTCTCTCCGCGATGATGAATAAGATATGTGAATTTAGTTCTGTTTGTTGAACAAAATAAATCGTTATATTGTTCAATGGAAGAGAATTATTATAAAGTAGTAAAGAAGTAGTTAGGTGACTTTGATATGACAACGAGTATTTTTGTTGCTGGAAGTGATACTTGAGATCCTGCTTCAAATCAGCTTTCTTATTTTTGGGCAAGTTTTGCTATGATATCATTTTCGATTCATATGTGACATTACTCGAATAAACTTATTCGACTATATGAACTTAAACAAAACTCGAGCTTTTGAAATATCGTGATTTTACTAACAAAATTTCATAAAAGGGATCTATTTTTAGATCTTGTTTACAATATGACAGTTAAACAGATTAGAAAACATTTGCTATTTTTCGTTTATGACTGAATATAATTGAAGAATAAATAAACAACCTTGAGCGTTAGTCTTTTTATTTGCTATAAACAAAGAAAAGAAAATTTTACTCTGTGATCATGAAAATGTAATAAAGAGCAAATGCTTAGTCACAGTAAAGGTATAAAATACAATGAAATAAATGGACTATATATTATTAATAATCACATAGTGCAAATAAGAGCAATGAGTCGAGATACTGCGAAGAAAAGAGTTTCGAACATACTATTTCAAATGTTTCAGTCAAATCGAGTCTATTCTATTGATATGCTTTCTTTTAATTTTGTTTTGTTAGATGACAGACACTGATCAGATGCAAAATAATGGTCATGTAGTATTGATTGCTTCACCTTTTGACGGTCATGTCGTCCCATTGCTGGACTTAGCTAGACATTTATCAGTCCATTTTCACATTACTTATCTTATATCAGCGTCAAAACTCAGCTTTATTAAACAGCATGGATATCTTGTGGAAAAGGAAAACAATAAAATGGTTTCTACTAATATTGGGATAGATTTCATTGGTCTATTCGATCATAATGATGCCGATTTTGAAGTGAGCTTGTTCGAATTCAAGTAACATGTTACAAAAAAGCACATAACTTTCCATAGGTGACACGTTCCAATGTGAATACTCTAGTAAGACCAATCATAGAACGTATGTATGAACCTCTTCAACAAATATTATTTTCTCAACCTATGAAATCAACATCAATTACTTTATTATCTACTGAATCAATCGATCGACCTATTGATATGATTATTGCTGATATATTTGTTTATCCCTTTGTTCGAAATGCAAAGGAAAGAGGTATCACGACTCAAATGTTCTGTCCCACTAGTTTTGCTGTCATTCCCGCACTAATGCGTGTGGTAACAGATGAGACGCCCAAATCTGAGTGGCCTGATCTCACCGCTTCTATTATCGAAGCATATCCGTTTGCTGATGGAATAATCTGTAATTCAATCGAGAAATTCGAAGAACACGCTATTGAAGATATGCGACAACAGGCAACTCCGTACTCAAAAGTACCTGTTCGATTTGTAGCACCTCTTATGTCTGAAGCATCTGTCAATAAAGATACTGTAAGAATTTCTATTGATTGTATTCACTTTAATCTATTTTCTCTTTAGATGGAAGTTACTTCACGTGTAAAAAATTGGTTACAAACACAATGGGAACTGGCTAATCAAACACCGTCGGTTATATATATTGCTTTTGGTACAAGTGCTTCTATCTCATCTGCACAGGTACTTCAAATTGCTGATGCTCTCACATCTTATCCTGTTATCTGGTCGTTGAAATCAAAACTTCTTGAATGTTTACCATCCTCATTTGTTAATAATGAAAAATCTTTGCTGCTTGATTGGGTACCACAACGCCTGGTTCTTTCTCATCCTGCCGTGTGTCTCTTTATATCGCACGGAGGTTGGAATAGTTTACTCGAATGTATATTAGCAGGAAAGCCAGTTCTAGTATGGCCTCTTTTCGGCGACCAAATAACCAATGGAAAATGCGCTGAAGAAGAGTTTCATATCGGCCAATGCATGAAAAATGCCAGTTTTGTTGATGATCAACGGGTTGTATTAAGTGCTGAGATTAAAGGGTATTTACAACAAATGTTCGATCGACAATTGGAATATACTCAAAATGCTCGTCAAATGCAACAAAAATGTACACATGCAGAACAAAATAGTTCGCTTCGTTATTTCAACGAGATTGTCCGAATCATTAATGAACGAGCAGCTGTTCGATTAGACAGAAAAACTATCGAACTTTAATCATGCATTGGGCTAAATCTTTCATATCCATTCGCATATCTTTAGTTCTTTTTCAACTATTGACTGTTAGCTAGAAGAATCTTTTATAGAATTAACGATAGTCATCAAGAGATTCTATTCGCTCGTCTCTACATCGTTTTCATTAGAAAATTCATTTGTTATTTTAGTAAAATATATATCACAATGACTCATCGAATTGAGGGTGAGGGTGTGAGGAGTAAGAGCAAACATGACCAGGGATGGTTTTTGCTCATGTTCATATCTGCACCCACACATTGTTAATCAAGAAAAAACCATTAGAAGCATATACTCAAAAATATATAAAGATAAATGTGGAAACTCCGGATTGTATCCGAAAGTTAAGTGTACTGGAAAAAGTTTCTAGGAAAAGGCAGAGGAAATGTATAGGTGAAAAGTTCGTATTGTTATGATAACTCGAGCATGCCTGAGCCGGTCGGCCTTATACAAATCGATTGAAATCTTAATGAAACTTAACGGGATTTTTGAAGTTCACCGATTAAGACTTTTACCAATCATTAGCGAAATTCTATATAGTGTGTTGGAAAAAGTACAATGAATAATAGACGATTGGCGAGAGTCGAGTAGATCGTAATTCATATACCGGGTGTACCAAAAGTTTTGCGACACTTTTTATTTTGGTGATATCTGGACTTGAGAAAATGGTAATGCTTTGATTCCTTTTTTGAATGATAGAGCAAGAAACACTGTATAAGAAATGTATGGAAGAATCCTTAGTCTTTCGTTGGAAAAAATTTTGTGCGGTCAGCATTAAGTATCTGTCTGAAACGACGATGTCCCCGCGCAATAAAATTAACTGCATATTTTTTATTGTTTCTTATATATTTTGGCATTTGAAAGAGATATCCGTCTGATTCTTCTTTTAAAATTTGCGCGTTGAAAAGCTTCTTCAGAGCTATATCGAACAATCATAAATACTAGCATCTGGCGTACTTCGTCTTCTCAAAACTGAAAAAGCACATTTCTCGGTCCCATTTTTACGGTATACTTCAGTTTTATTTTCNATTAGAATGTGATTTTTTTCAATTATCTTGAGGATGAAACTGTGAGCATCCTCCCTCGTCCTCACCCTCAAGATATCAGATTCAAATCAATTAAACTATCTATCGAGTCTAAGCTCTGATTCGTATGACAATCTTTTGGTTTGTTTAGAATGACAAATGATGGTAAATATGAATATTACATGAGAATATCATACAGTATCAGTATCATCGGATAGAAAAGCACTGCTCAATAATGAATACAACGGCGGTCATCTAGATAGTTCTGTAGAATTGTGTTAAAGAAAAAAATTGAAATGTTTGACGAGAAACTTTTGAATTTTCCCAAAAGATTCTGTTCACGACTGTCAACGAATTTAATTTCCAGGCCAAGTTTAACACACAATGCTTTAAAACTCAAGTCTTTTACGGATAGGAGAACTACGGTTTAACTCTAAATTTAATCGTCTTATATGTATCTTTCTTATGAATAATAACGATACTTTTTTTTGGTAACTCGACACATCGATCGTTTCTATGATGTGAATGTATCTCATTCAGTTGGTGCTTGTCAACGATGAGAAACCTGATGCTATTGTTACAACTTCGATTTCTGATTATGTTGATATTCTTTCATACCGTTAGTTTTATTTCAGCAACAAACTCAAATTTAATTCAGCTCTTTTGACTTCATTTATTGTAGATAATAATAAGAAAAACATCGATTCATGCAAATTTTCTTTTCGTTTTCATCTATTATATAATATTCAGCTCAACAGGTGACTCAGTAGACAACGTAGTATTGAAATTTAAAAAAAAGAACTCGACATTCTTTTGAAAAATATGATTTTCTCATAATTGCTTCTCATTTTTAAAATATAGTTGAAAGAGGAAATGTTCTTATTTTCAAATCTCATTTGATTACTAATAGCACCTTGTTTTTTCTTTTCATTCAATGTAATCGTGCATATAATTAATTGAAAAATAATGCAGAGCTCTAAACGGGAGAATGTTTCACTGTTTCAATTTCTTCCGACGTTATTGCAACGGAATGTGAATATATCGCTTTCATCTAGGATGAAATGCATTTTGGCAACGAGAAAATAACCATGTAAAGATGAGCAAATCAACTAAAAAACAATTGATGTAGCTCATGATTTACGATAGATCAAAAAATCAGTCTATGTCAGTTCATCATAATCTGCAATGCTGTTATACAGTAATTTTCATAAAAGTCTGTGCTTGAGTAGACTCACTGAAACTATATTAGTGAGAGTTTCTCCATATTTATGCTAAAACTGCATATTTCGAAGAAAAAATTTGATGAAAATTGAGGTGTCACTTTTCATCTTGATTTGCTTCGCTCTATTTTGAGCACTGAGAGAATGTCGACGCTTTTTTCCTTATTATAGAATATGAAATACAAGCACAACTATTGTTTAAAAAAAACCTCCGTGCAATATGCCTTGGATTGTTCTTCTTTTCTTACTCTTTTCTACTAGTCAAGCAGTTCGCATGTATAAAATAAACAATTGTACAATGATTGGTACAGCAAATCGAACAATATTTAATGTCACGCAAGATAACTGTATTTGTGAAATGGTCTCATTCAATGGATCGGTGTCTGCGATGAATTATTTTGCTATCAATCAAACTTGTCAATTATTTATTTTGGATAATAATTCGATCGTTGTGGATTTTTATTTTCCTTCATCTTTGATATTTATCAATCGAACAGCGATATCATTAACACGATATAGTAAGTTTGTTAGGTTTTCAATTTGTTATGAATGTGTCAAGATGACATTGAAATTCATCAACTGATTATGATTTAGATAGAATATTTTGCTCCTATATTGCCGTTTTTCTTTAGTCAACCAAGCGACATCATCAACAGCAGGGTCTTCTTCAACAATGTTAACTACGACGATCGGTTAGTAACGCATTTCTAATAAAGACAATTCTATTTTTCATTTATAGGATGCAATCAAACGTTTCTTAATTACACAACGTATTCAATGGGTAGTAGTACAAATTATGTAGCCGTAAATGATATTAATAGTGACATGAAACCTGATATTCTTACAGTCAATACTGGTTCAAATAATATGGGTGTTCGTCTAAACAAAGGTGATAATACATTTTCTTCTTCAACATTTTACGTAGTCGATAGTCAACCATTTGCAATAGCCGTCGCCGATCTTAATAATGATACTTACCCCGATGTTATTGTTACAAATTCTGGATCAAAAAATATTGGTATTCTTATGAACAATGGTAATGGAACATTTCGTTCTCAATATACTTTATACTCGAATTCAAATCCACATCCATTGGCAGTAGCTGATCTAGATAATGATAATCAACCTGATATTCTTTATTCAACATGGTCTACAACTACCGTGGGTGTGTTTTTTAATCAAGGTAATGGAACTTTTTCTTCTGAATCTGACTATGCAACTGGTGATTATCCATTTGCAATTGAAGTATCTGATGTCAATAAAGATAATCAACCTGATATAATCACAGTAAATCAGAATTCAAATAGTGTCATCATTCTGATCAATCAAGGAAACCGAACATTTCTTTATCAGTCAACAATATCAGTTGGCAATGGTCCATATTCATTAGCAGTTGCCGATATTGATGGTGATAATATTGTAGATATCGCTGTCGGCAATAAAAATGCCGGTACAGTTAGTGTTTTAATTAATCGTGGTAATGGTACATTTCTCAATCATGTCGTTTATAATGTCGGTAGTTCTCCATACGCTGTAAAAATCCATGATATAAATCTTGATAACTATCCCGATATTATTGTTGTAAATTACAATTCAAAAAATATCGGTATTCTTTTAAATAAAGGTAATGGAACATTTTTCGACCAAATTACTTTTCCAATCGGTACCCAACCAACATCATTGGCAGTTGTCGATGTTAATGATGATAATAAACCTGACGTGATCGTTACGAATTCTGGCGATAATAATGTTGGTGTTCTCTTACATTGTTAATTTTTTGTATTTGATGACATCAAACTCATTTTATTTATTTCAACAAATACCAACTTCATGAATGAATCTCTGTGGCGATATTATCTATACCCATATCGGAAACGTTTTAATCAGCCATTTTTATTAAGTTACATCGTCATCACCAAGTCAGCCGTACGATGCCATTGATTCTTCTTTCTAATATAGTCCGTCAATTGTTTTAGTTATTGATCATTATCACTAGTCAATATAAAATTGACTTCCCCCAAAAGCGATCTTTCATTTGTTTGATTCTACCTATACGAAAACTCATATTTCTTGTGATCTTTGTTTAACCTAACTGACAGTTGATTTGCTAATGAAAAAATATAGCAAAATATTCATAAAAAGAGTATATAATACCATAGTATTGTGTTGTATTTCTAAGTGAATATCATGAGAATGCAAATAAAAAAGACACTAATGTATTTCGTATAAATATATCTTTATTCTTCATTAATATGATTCATTTGCGTGACGCACTTGTGTTTAAACAATGTATTATTCAAAAGCAAAGGCACAAAACATATTTGATAAACAACTTTTCTCTCCCCGATGATGAATAAGACATGTGAATTTAGTTCTATTTGTTGAACAAAGTAAATCGTTATACTATTCAATGGAAGAGAATTATTATAAATTAGTAAAGAGGTAATTAATTGACTTTGATTATGACAACAAGTGTTGTTACTGAAAATGATTCTTCAGATCGTGCTTCAAATCAGCTTTCTTATTTTTGGGTAAGTTTTGCTGTGATATCATTTTCGATTCATATGTGACATTACTCGAATAAACATATTCAACTATATGAACTTGAAAAATGTAATAAAATAAAGAGAGTAGAAAGTGGATCTTCACCTGTAATAATTATTAGGCATGTATCAAAAATAAAACTCGAACTTTTGAAATATTGTGATTTCGCTACCAAAACTTCATGAAAGGGATCTATTTTCACATCTTGCTCAAAATATGACAGTTAAACAGATTAGAAAACGTTTGTTATTTTTCGTTTATGACTGAATATAATCGAAGAGTAAATAAACAACCTTGAGTGTTAGCCTTTTTGTTTGCTATAAACAAAGAAAAGAAAATTTTACTCTGTGATCATGAAAATGTAATAAAAAGAAAAATGCTTAGTTAGTAAAGGTATGAAATACAATGAAATCAATGGATTATATATTATTAATAATCATATAGTGCAAATAAGAGCAATGAGTGGGGATACTGCGAAGAAAAGAGTTTCGAACATATTTCAAATGTTTCAATCAGATCGAATCGATTCTATTGATATGCTTTCTTTTAATTTTGTTTTATTAGATGACGGACACTGATCAGATACAAAATAATGGTCATGTAGTATTGATTGCTCCACCTTTTGACGGTCATGCCATTCCATTATTGGACTTAGCTAGACATTTATCAGTCCACTTTCACGTTACTTATCTTATATCAGCGTCAAAACTCAATTTTATTAAACAGCATGGATATCTTGTCGAAAAAGAGAACAATAAAGTGGTTTCTACTGATACTGGAATAGATTTCATTGGTCTATTCGATCATAATGATGCCGATTTTGAAGTGAGTTTGTCCTTATTCAAGTAACATATCACAAAAGAACACATAACTTTCCTCAGGTGACACACTCCAATGTGAATACTTTAGTAAGGCCAATCATAGAACGTATGTATGAACCTATTCAACAAGTATTATTTTCTCAACCGATAAAATCAACATCAATTTCTTTATTGTCTACTAAATCAATCGATCAACCTATTGATATGATTATTGCTGATATATTTGTTTATTCCTTTGTTCGAAATGCAAAGGAAAGAGGTATTACGACTCAAATGTTCTGTCCCACTAGTTTTGCTGTCATTCCCGCACTAATGCGTGTGGTAACAAATGGAACACCCAAATCTGAGTGGCCTGATCTCACCCCTTCTCTTATCGAAGCATATTCATTTGCTGATGGGGTTATCTGTAATTCAATCGAGGAATTCGAACAACAAGCTATTGAAGATGTGCGACAACAGGCAACTCTGTACTCAAAAGTACCCGTTCGATTTGTAGCACCTCTTATGTCTGAAACATCTGTCAATAAAGATACTGTAAGAATTTCTATCGATTTTATTCACTTAAATCTATTTTCTCTTTAGATGGAACTTACTTCACGTGTAAAAAATTGGTTAAATACACAATGGGAACTGGCTAATCAAACACCATCGGTTATATATATTGCTTTTGGTACAAGTGCTTCCATCTCATCTGCACAGGTACTTCAAATTGCTGATGCTCTCGCATCTTATCCTGTTATCTGGGCGTTGAAATCAAAATTTCTTGAATGTCTACCATCCTCATTTATTAATAATGCAAACTCTTTGTTACTTGATTGGGTACCACAACGCCTGGTTCTTTCTCATTCTGCCGTGTGTCTCTTTATATCGCATGGAGGTTGGAATAGTTTACTCGAATGTATATCAGCAGGAAAGCCAGTTCTAGTATGGCCTCTTTTTGGCGACCAAATAACCAATGGAAAATGCGTTGAAGAAGAGTTTCATATTGGTCAATGTATGAAAAATGCCAGTTTTGTTGATGATCAACGAGTTGTATTAAGTGCTGAGATTAAAGGGTATTTACAACAAATGTTCGATCGACAGATGGAATATATTCAAAATGCTCGTCAAATGCAACAAAAATTTGCACATGCAGAACAAAATAGTTCGCTTCGTTATTTCAACGAGATTGTCCGAATCATTAACGACCGAGCAGCTGCTCGATTAGACAGAAAAACTATCGAACTTTGATCATGCATTGGGCTAAATCTTTCATATCGATTCACCTATTTTTAGTTCTTTCTCAACTATTGGTTGTTAGCTAGAAGAATCTTTTATAGAATTAAAGATAGTCATCAAGAGATTTTATTTGCTCGTCTCTACATCATTTTCATTAGAAAATTCATTTGTTATTTTAGTAAAATATATATAACAATAGCTCATCGAATTGAGAATAGACTGACATTTCCAGCGTAATTTAAGCAAGACAGCTGTATAAAAATTTTGTTACAACACTGCCATCAATTGATCAAATGTGACATTATTCAAAAAATGCCATTTTATATGTATTTTTGCGCACAATAGTCATGAGTGCTGTAAATTTTTCATTCAGCAGATACTATAAGACGTCTTAAAACACCATCAACATCAGAATGAACTTGATCAACTTTTGAAAAAATATCACATCAAGGAGGAAAGTGGATCCTGGATTCTTTGGAACCTTAGAATCCAAAATAATCCACTTTTTTTCCTTGAGAAAACTTAACTTACGGCAAGTATGCATTTCTTCTTAGAAAAACGATACAGTTATTCAAGCATTTGATATCTATTCTTCAATCTCGAAGACACGAATTATGAATTACATCAGTTTTGATTATTATAATCAATGTACATGTAATCCATTGAAATTTTCTTTGCCGTGGAAAAATAAATTCATGTGTTTGAAGGAAGGTAGCAAATTTCTCACTGAATATGCTCGGACAACAATGTGAAATCTTCCTTTTTATATTCGTTTGATGTGTGATGGAAAAGATTTGGCTCATTCTATACACGAATGTTATTTATTTACAGTTCTCAATACTTTGCATTAAACAGCTAGAGGGGTGTGAGGAGTGAGAGCGAACATGACCAGAGATGTTTTTTTTCCTTATGCTCGTGTCTGCACTCAAACCCACCATCACTTCTCTTAAATATTACTTAGCAAAAGATCTGTTTATAGTAATCAAGGAAAAACCATTAGAAGCATATACTCCGATTGAGATCTTAATGAAACTTAACGGGATTTTTAGAATTCGTCAATTAAGACTTTTACTAATCATTGGCGAAATTCCATATAGTATGTTGGAAAAAGTACAATGAATGATTGAGGATTGGCGAATCTCTATATGACATATTGGCGAGAGTCGAGTAGATTTTAATTCATATAAATAGGACATTCGTAAACTGTTAGTGTATTGGAAGTTATGTTTTATACTGCATACATGTATAAATGAGTATTTCGGTAGTATGTATGTTACGTCAACATCTCTAAACAATTGCTCTATCGTTCATCGATCACCAACTATCAGAAGTAATTACTGGCGAACTTCGGATAATCTGTGAAGCGATCTCTAGTCTTAAAATCCCTTTTAAATGATGTTTTATGAAGATTTAAGCATTTCCTAAAAAAATGACTTTTTGACCTTTCACCCTCACACAGATAGGTTGACACGCAAACTAGTTCTTTCATATAACCCTTCTTTCAGCCCGGAAAATATCAGATTCAGAATCAGTGCGAAAAGTTTGATCGATTGATATATTTTTCAAAACATTACTGTACGCCTCTTTAGGGATGGGCAGGTGATTTTTCCGACTTTTCAGGATAACTCAGGTATTTCTCGGCCGATCCTTCTCATCTTCGAACTCGACCGAGATATCAATGAGACAATACTGTGGACAACATTTTGGGTTTACATGCATGTAGTTTTCCAGAGTAATCGGATAAACGAACGGACAGACGGTCGGACACACGGACCGATTCTAGTAGTGTATTCTCTCATTGAGTACGCTAAAAACCACAAATTAAACTCAAGATAATCAATTTATTGATAGATACGAAAACGCCTTTTATTAAAGAATTATGTAGTCTAATATCACACTGATCTATTTTCTTGAATATGTAACAAACTATTGAAGAATATATTATTGATAACAAAGTTTGACGCTGATAAATAGATCTTGTTTCTCTCATAATGAAACAAATCAATTTATTCATTAATAACAATGTTTTATTCGACCAACGACAAAAATCTGTTTAGCTCTATAAATATTCTATTCATTTTTATTCATAAAATCACAGTTATATCGCACATCAATCTTTATTCTAAGATTCATCAAGTAAGTTCAAATCAGTATAAGAAGAGTTTTCATATACTATGGATCAGTTCATATTTTGAAGTGTAAAGTCAAATGATAACGTCATGAGCGGAAAGAAAGTAAAATAATGATGTAGAATTTCTGCTTACAAACTTTATTACATATAATCTAGCCTTTGTTGAAATAGTTTTATTCACTACTTGATTTTCTAATCAAATCACATCAGTCAACTTCGTCTCTTGAAAAACGTTAATTTGAGTATACAGGGTAATGCAAAAGTCACGCACCTGAGGAAAAAATTTTTATACTTCCATTACGACTCAACCGAACGGGTTTATTTGTTTACCAAGTATAGAGGCACGTCCACACTCCAAATTCATATAGACAAGGTTAGTCAGAACTTTTGTTAAGTATCACTATTGACCTCAACAAGAAATTTTACTTTTTCACAAAACAATATACGAAATGGTATGAAAATGACTTTATCGAAAAAGAAATTTGAATATCTCCATTACGGCTCGAGCTAACGAACTTATTTTTTTGCCAAACACAGAAGCATGTTTATATTCGAAATCCATACGGGCGACATTACTGAGAACCTATGTTAAATACAATTTTTTCTTTTCCTATTTATGAACAAGTAAAAGTTTTCTCGTTGACGACAATAGTGGTACCTAACAAAAGTTTTTACTAACCATGCCCATATGAATTTGGAGTGTCCACGTGCGGCTATACTTGGCAAAAAAGTCCGTTTGGTCGAGTTATAATGAAGATATGAAATTTTTTTCCTCGGATGCGTGACTTTTCGACCACCGTGTATATTTAAATGAATGTGTCATTTGCTATTTCATGATTGTGCTTCAAAATAAATCAAATATTTGCAGAAATGACAAATCTAAAATTATATCAAGAGAGAAGATGATTACTCTGAGAGAGTTTTTTTTCTACTAATAATGTGCATACGTGAAGATGAGAAAGCATGAAAAATCGTTCATTGATTTTTCGAGATTACACAGGTATTCATTTTAGAACTTTTTGAATTTTGAACTAAAAAATTTTTATTTCTAAGACTCCATTCAGATAACCCTATTTGGTCTTCTCTTCGAAAAGCACATATTTTGTATTATTAATATAATTCTTAGAAAGAAAATAGAGAGACGCGATATTACTTTATGAGTCGTTAAAATTAGACAATATTCAACTAAAATAGTTGTTCTTATATCTAGAAGCTTATTTCGATTTTTGTGACGTTTAGCTAGAACCAGCAGTATAACAATGAACATTCATTTAGTTTTTATCTATACATTCTTTTTTTCATAGCAATATTATATCTACAAACTGTTTAATACTTTTCTTACGAATTCGATGTGTTTATGCTGTAAATGAATTGTTATTCTTTTTAAATTTTATTATCCAAAATATTTATTTTGATATTACGAGCTATGTGTACGCGAATACCCCGTAGACACACATATTTTATTGTTATTCTATCTCTTATATTGGTAACATCAATCACAATAAATGTCATCATTATAAATAAACTCCTTTCAAATCATTTATCTAGACTATGGCAGCTTGTTGCTTTGTCACAGACAATGTCTCAAAGTAATTATTCCAACAAAATGATCTGTTCTTTAACTAGTATATTAACGCAAGCAAATAAATTTCATGAAGTATTATCCAAAGACGATTTGTGGTCTAGTTGTTACGGAAATGATTACCTTTCAATGTTGTATCTTGCTGATTTACACAATCCATGGCTGCAAAATAAACTTTTCTTTGATATTGATGCCAACAAAGGTTATACTATAGCTTCATGGCTATCTATATGGATGCCTGAAAAGAATGTTGATCCGAAAAGCTTGTACAAATATCTCTCTCATATTTTAAAGATCAATGATTGTGGTGTTTGCTCAGATTGCAATGAAACAATACTGAATACTGTACAGATAAATAATCCTACATATAAAAGACTCACAATTCATGCGTTCGAACCGATGAAAAGTACCTACGAGATACTCGATCAAGTACGCACTTGGATGAATCTCTCTACGTTATATGTTCATCAATTAGCAATTAGTAATAGCACGGGTACGGCTAACATGAAGAAATGTCCTGCGGGAGGAGAAGTATGTGGATTGATAACTAACGATGACACTGCACGCAACGATAAAGTATTTCAAACGCCGACAGTAACTCTTGATGATTTTATTGAACAAAAAAAAATACAACAGAAAATAGATTTACTCAAAATTGATACGGAAGGCGCACATCCACTTGCTCTCCAAGGAGCAAAGAAACTATTCTCAAGAAAGCAAATTATTAGATTACTTATATTTGAAAATCATGGAATCAGTACTTGGAAAACAACTAGTCTATTAACAGTAATTGACTTTCTAGGCAAAGAAGGCTTTATCTGTTATATGCTTGGTAAAACAGGTTTAGCACGTTTGACAAACTGTTGGTCGCCTGTATTTGAAGTGAAGTCGTGGAGTAATGTCTTATGTGTTCATAGAGAAGAAGAACATCTTTGACGTTTTCTTGATAGACTTCTTATTACTCATATCTAATTGATTTTGTGTATCGTATGGAAAAAGCAGTATCAAATAATATCAATATTTATACGATGTCTTTATCTTTCTTTCTTTCGTGTAATAAAATTATGTGCTCAGACAAAGAGGGTGTTTAATAGAATCTTTTATAACTCTGTATCTTAGGGTGTAGTTATATCTTGAGCTCATCAATGAGAAAAGCTGATAAGTTCATCATTAATATATTTAAAGATTTTCAAAAATAAATTTATATTATCAAACTCAGAATTAGATAATAATATTGAAATTTTCTATGAATTTCAGATTGGTTTTTGATGCAAAGAATGTCATTCATATACAGATTATTTCATCTTTCCTGGTTCAATATCAATTTGTACAACATCTTATTCATTTCATATATTTATATACGCAGGACAAGTTAACAAACATATAAATTCATTCATAATTTAATGAATTAAACGATTCCTCCCTAGAAGCTGCCAAAGAAAAGTCCATTTCATTTTCTAATTGCATTTTGATAAAAATTCAAGACGCCTGTATGATGGGAGATGAAGAATTTTACAAATTAATAGATCAGAAAGCAAAATATCTTTTGCGTACGATCAATTTTTCCGCTATAAAACATTTAAATCTCTCTGCTCTCCAGTATGAATAAAAGATATATTAACAGAAAATATCACAGTTATCATCATTCGATGTTTATCTAGAAATATTTAGATAATATATGATTAAGAAATAGGAAATATCGTGTAGTCGTTTATTTAATTGGACAAAACATATACGATGATGTACTCAGAAATATTCAATAATCTTGAAGAATTTTGATGTTACGGATATGAAAACATGAGAAAAGATCTTCTCGAAAATACGATATTACTAAAACAGCAGAAAACTTAGGATTAGATATCACATTTGATTCGTATAGTAATCTTTCTACTAACTATTTATCAATTTGGATCAATCAAAATCTTTAGAATGTCGATATGTTGTTAAAGTATATTATTCTCCATATGATTTGATCTTTTTGTGAAAATGTATTTTTTTCTCCAGGAACAAAATTTCAATTAGACGCTAAATCAATCGGTTAGATCTTATTACTCCCATAGGTCGAAAAATCCCGTAACGAATTTTTCCGTACATTCTATGGAAGCAGAATTCACGATCGGATTCAAGAGTATATAGTATCAGGGATTGATACACAATGTTGCACAACATCAGAGAAATTATCTTGGTGATAGTGAAATATTGTAAATCTATTACGCTACGAAACATTTTCTATCTTTACACTAAGAACTAACGAATCAGACAGCTTTTAAGTGAACACTTCGAGAGACCAATTTTGCAGAAGATAATCTATGATAATATTTGATAAAAAGAGCCACAGTTAATTTTGTTGAGAAATGTGGTGTTATTTGACATGTCTAAATGCGTTGTAATACAGTTCTGAAATGGAACAAATTTTTAAATATTCTTCAAGAAACTATAGATATCAAGCTTATAGAGAAAACAAATGGGTATCAAGAGATAACTATTGACAATTGGAATTTATTCTGACAAAAAATTTTAATTCTAAAGTGCTTTTAAAAAGTTACGCGTTTATAAACGAAATTAAGATTCATAAATCGAGTCAAAATTGATAATTTGACAAGTCTCGAAATGTTGGATTTGAAATGAATTTCAATAATCGAATAGAATCAAAGTCAATCAGATATGAAGTAAAAAGTTTATCCGATTTTGACTGATTAGATGCACTTTCATTAGCTGTCATTAATGATTTGTCAATAAATGTGGAATTGTAGAAAGAAAACTATTTGACTTAGTAATATACAAGGGTGAGAATTCTGTGAAGTTACTCACTATTCGCCTCAAATTTTCCTTCAGTTTATAATTCATCTGTTGAGTGAGAATTTAATGATCAAGAATATATTAAGTCGATCAATCATTGAATTATGAATTTAAATAAATATTTGTAAATTAATTCAAAGATATATCTGTATCCATGATGATGATCCGCACATGTTATTCTAGTGTTCTACGATTCGTTTAATTTCAACCCATTTTGAACAAGACAATCATCTATGTTTAGTTTTGTTTAGTCTTTGTCAGTATGTCAGATATCTAAAAAAATTATAATATATATATCTTTTAAAATCATTTTCAGTAACCTTTTCAAAACGATGCTGGTGTGGTATAACTATCTGATATCGCATACCGCCGGTCTCTAGTTCCACCATGAAAATGAGATGATTCTAAGACTGATATACTTAAAATTATTGGAATGATATTTTTAATCTGCATAATTTCTGTTCGGAATAAGAATAACTTGATCCGATCCCAAAGGTTAAAGGTATTCGATGAAAACAAATCTGTTTCGTTGTTCCAATATGTGTGTATATTAGTGCTGTTTTGACTTCTAAGCGAAAAAATAAAACCTTTTTGCATATTGATAGCTGGAAGCAAAGATTTTCATCTTTCTAATTTATTTCAAAATAACAATCCAAGGATTCATTTTAATGAATAGTAATCCCATGTGCTTTGTGATCATTGACGAAGTGCTGTGCATCTTGGTCTTCTATTCTATTGTTAAACACACCCATACGGTGATTTTCATTTGAAACGAAGTGACATCTATTCTTTTCTCTTTTCTGATCATTCGAAGAAAAAAAAAGAACCATTGAGATAGTTTGTATATTCTTTTATTCAAATGAATTATTTGTGGTAAGAAAATGAGTGAGACTCACTCATTGAAAAATAGTCATGAGATCTACTGGTGTGATTTAGACAAAGAAAAATTTCTAAGTCTTTTATTTGCAAGTTCGTTTGTGTCACGAACATGTTTTCATCCATTAGGACTCATAAAAGTTCGTTTACAAGCGAGAAAGACTGGTGATATTTCTACGTTAGGTATCATCAGAGATATTTGGCACAATGAAAGATTTCCACAAGGTTTCTATCGAGGTTTTCCTATTAGTCTTGGCAGTCTTTTCTTTGAACCAATTTTTACAACAACACTTGAACAAACGAGAACAATTCTGAAAATGACTCAGCCTAAATCTATATCTCATTCTCAATGGAATATTCTTACTAGTTTAATATCAAGTGGTGTTGCTACTTTGATTTATCAAACTCTTACAAGTAAATGATATTTGTTTTAATTTTTAAAAGTTTTCATGACTTTTTTCAGCACCAATTGATGTTANTCATATTCATCGGATTACGATGGGACACTGTCGTATCAGATAGACACTTAATACCGATCGCACAGAACTTTTTCCAACGAAAGACTAAGGATTCTTCCATACATTTCTTATACAGTGTTTCTTGCTCTATCATTCAAAAAAGGAATCAAAGCATTACCATTTTCTCAAGTCCAGATATCACCAAAATAAAAAGTGTCGCAAAACTTTTGGTACACCCGGTAATTGACTTTCTAGGTAAAGAAGGCTTTATCTGTTATATGCTTGGTAAAACAGGTTTAGCACGTTTGACAAACTGTTGGTCGACTGTATTTGAAGTGAAGTCGTGGAGTAATGTTCTATGTGTTCATAGAGAAGAAGAACATCTTCGACGTTTTCTTGACAGACTTCTTATTACTCATATCTAATCGATTCTGTGTATCGTATGAAAAATCAGTATCGAATAATATCAATATTTATACGATGTCTTTATCTTTCTTTCGTGTAATAAAATTATGTGCTCAGAAAAAGAGGGTATTTAACAGAATCTTTTATAACTCTATATCTTAGGATGTAGTTATATCATGAGCTCATCAATGAGAAAAGTTGATACGTTCATCATTACTATATTTAAAGATTTTCAAATATAGACTTATATTTTCAAACTCAAAATCAATCGATTAAATCTTATTACTCCCATAGGCCAAAAATTCATAACATCCGGTCCCATATACCGTCTCACTTAGCTCTATACCGTACTGTATATCGCACTACGAGAATCATTTTTCAAGATTTTTCTCTAGCTTCTCTACTCTGTTTTCTTTCGTATGTAGGTTCTATTTGTGAAGGATGTTGACAAAGAAGTAAACAGAAATATAGAAGCACATGAGCGAAAAGAAATTCAAGAGCATACAGCAGTATCAGGGATTGATACACAATGTTGCACAACTTCAGAGAAATTATCATAATGATAGTGAAACATTATAAATCTATACAAATCTATTACGCTACGAAACATTTTCTATTTTTAAAATAACAACTAACGAATCAGACAGTTTTTAAGTGAATACTTCGAGAGACCAATTTTGCGGAAGATAATATTTGATAAAAGGAGCCACAGTTATTTTTGTTGAGAAATGTGGTGTTATTTGACATGTCTAATGTCTAAATGCGTTGTAAAACAGTTCTCAAATGAAACAAATTTTTAAATATTCTTCAAGAAACTATAGATATCAAGCTTCTAGAGAAAAACAAATGGGTATCAAGAGATAACTATTCACAGTCGGAATTTATTCTGTCAAAAAATTTTTATTTTAAAGTACTTTTAAAAGTGTTGCGCGTTTATAAACGAAATTAAAATGTATAAATCGAGTCAAAGTTGATAATTTGACAAGTCTCAAAATGTTGGATTTGAAATCAATTTCGATAATTGGATAGAAATAAAGTCAATAGATATGAAGTAGAAAGTTTATCCGATTTTGACTGATTAGATGCACTTTCATTAACTGTCATTAATGATTTGCCAATAAATGTGGAATTGTAGAAATGAAAATATTTGACTTAGTAATATACAAGGGTGAGAGTTCTGTGAAGTTACTCAATGTTTGCCTCGAATTTTTCTCGAGTTTATAATTCATCTGTTGAGTGAGAATTTAGTGATCAGATAATACTAAGTTGACCACTCATTTTAAAATCTTAAAACTTCTTAGATTTTATACAACATATTCGATTTTTATCTACCAATTATTGAATTATAAATAAGATAGATTTATAAATTAAATAAATATTTGTAAATTAATTCAAAGATATATCTGTATCCATGATAATGTCCCACACATGTTAATCTAGTGCTCTGCGATTCGTTTAATTTCAACTCATGTTGAACAAGAGAACGAGCTATGTTTAGTTTTGTTTAGCCTTTGTCAGTATTTAAGATATCTAAAAAAATTATAATATATATCTTTTAAAATCATTTTCAGTAACCTTTTCGACACAATGCGGGAGTGTGGCATAGCTATCTGATACCGCACCGCATACCGCCGGTCTCTAGTTCCATCATGAAAATGAGATGATTCTAAGAATGATATTGTTAATTAGCATAATTTCTGCTCTGAATAAGAATAACTGATCCGATCCCAAAGGTATTGGGTGAAAACAAATCTGTTTCGTTATTCCAATATGTGCATACTAGTACTGTTTTGACTTCTAAGCGAAAGATAAAGCTTTTTTGCATATTTATAGCTGGAAGACAAGATTTTCATCTTTGTAATTTATTTCAAAATAGCAATACAAGAATTCATTTTAATGAATAGTAATGATATGCACTTTTGTCGGCGCATCTGCGAAAAAAGTGCATTCTTAATAACAAAATGACCGGATGAATTAATGTGATCATTGACGAAGTGCTATGCACCTTGGTCCCCTTTTCTATTGTTAAACACATCCATACGGTGATTTTCATTTGGAACGAAGTGACATCTATTCTTTTCTCTTCTCTGATCATTCGAGGAAAAAAAGAACCATTGAGATAGTTGTATATTCTTTTATTCAAATGAATTATTTGTGGAAAGAAAATGACTGAGATCCACTCATCGAAAAATAGTCATGAGATCTACTGGTGGGATTTAGACAAAGAAAAATTTCTCAGTCTCTTATTTGCAAGTTCTTTTGTATCACGAACATGTTTTCATCCACTTGGACTCATAAAAGTTCGCTTACAAGCGAGAAAGACTGGTGATATTTCTACGCTAGGTATCATCAAAGAAGTTTGGCGCAACGAAAGATTTCCACAAGGTTTCTATCGAGGTTTTCCTATTAGTCTTGGCAGCCTTTTCTTTGAACCAATTTTTACAACAACACTTGAACAAACGAGAGCAATTCTGAAAATGACTCAGCCTAAATCTATATCTCATTCTCAATGGAATATTCTTACTAGTTTAATATCAAGTGGTGTTGCTACTTTGATTTATCAAACTTTTACAAGTAAATGATATTTGTTTTAATGTTTAAAAGTTCTCATGATGTTTTTCAGCACCAATTGATGTTATAACACAACGAATCATAATAACACGTGCACGAGATAGCATTCATGTAAAAGATATTATTTCTGATATATATGGGAAATCTGGTGATGGTTTTCGCGGTTTTTATAAAGGCTATCTCGTATCTCTTACAATGTCTGTTCCATTTAATTCAATCCTTTGGACTTTTTATTGGAGAATTCAATCCAAATTCGAAGAAATTATTCCATTAAAGTATAATTCATTTATTTCTCCTCTTTCTGCAACATTAGCGTCACTTTTAACATCACTTTTAACTCAACCGATCGATGTTATTAAAACACGTCTTCAGGTATCACAAAAACGACAATCAGTTTCAAAAATATCACTTCTTTTATTTCAACAACGTGGTTTCAAAGGATTTTTCTCAGGAATTTTACCTCGAACTTGTACAATTGCTCCATATACTGTTATTATGATGTCAGTCTATGAAATTATAAAACGTACATCTGTACGTGAAGATTCATAAATAAATAAGAAGAATGAGTCACGTAAAATATCTCAGGGGTCGATTTGAGCTTGTTTAGGATCCATTCGTCCAGACACGCGTTCCAACTCGGATCTCACTAGTTCCAAGTAGAACTCAATGTGTTCTATCGATTCTAATTATAAAATTTTCCGACTCCACCTACGTCCAAATCCTTTCAGTTTGACTTAGCTTCGGGTACACTACACTAGACTTTTTTTTTATAGTATGGGAATCGTGCGTTTGTTCACGCGTATATGATGAATTGGTTTCGTTACGTCTTGATGGCAATGCAACGCATCTGACTTATTACTTCAGAGCTAGGGTTCTGAACCATTGATGGGTAAATTCATTTGCATCTTGTTCATAATTGATCCAATGCAAGATATATTATTCTTCACAGGTTTTGAAATAACACCCCGACACGCTGGTAGACGAAGTTCTTGGGCTATCGTAGTTTGCTACAGTTTATACATGTAGAAAGCGGATAAAGTCGTACACTCTCATTCTAACGCATTTTCAATAGAATTGAAAAGACAAAAATGATTTATTCGCATCATAAACTATTTGAGTGTCTTTTGATTAAAAATATCTTCAATGAATTAATGAAACTCATATACATATGCATGACTAATTCATGATAATTGAGTATAAGAGAAAGTAAGAAATCTTGTGTATTTAAAGGTAAAGAGTATACAAATACAATACATCGAGATTAGTCTTATTCATAATACTACCCAGGTCAACAAGTCCGATGGGATCCGAGTATGGGATTGTTCGGCCTGGGTAATTAAACGTTTGTTTGAATATGTATTGTTGTAGGTAAATGTTTAGTTGTTGACAAGTCAATCAATTTTTTCATTCCAAGCAAATGTTTAATCTGTTGACGAAAGCCAGGATTTGTTAAAAGCGAAACATAAAAACTTGATTGAAAAAATATATATGCTAATAAATGTGTTAATTCAGTAAATACTTTATCTCTAGCTTTCTCATACGGTGTTTTCGAATAATATTGTCTAATACTTGTATAAGCTAACTCAACTGAATATGGTACATACGTTATGACAACAATTATACATTGTAATAATAACATTAATGATAATTTCGAACTCATTTGTTCTAGAACTGTTTTATTTTGATTTGTTGTTGGTTGAATCCTTCGTTGAATAACATCATGAACGCTTCGTCTCAAAAGAAACGCTAATAAAAACATTAATATAGGTGGTAACACAGCTGATGTCGCATTTTCAAACCATTCATCCCATGTTGCATAAATACCAGCTGGTGGACCACAATTTCCATCTGATAACTGATACCATATTAAACGATGACCAATTAATAAAAACCAAAATATCATTGCACCTGCTACCATTTTATACGATAATGTCACACGATTACTCCAGTTTCGTAAATCTTGAAAGCGAAACATTATTTTTATACAAAAACAGGTTTTCTCTTTTACTTGTTGATCGTTGTGTTGCCAAAATCCGGTCTATAGTTGCAAATACAAAAGAATTAAATGAAATTTGATTTCCCCAAAATGTGTAAAATTGGCGAATTCTACAAAATGCTAAATATTTTGTTGTTAATGGTACTCGAAAACCTTTTTGAACTACTCGTGACATGAATACAAAATTAAAATAGATAAAATCTTGAATTGCTTGACAAAATAAATATCTTGCATATGCTTGCTTAGCGAACATTCGTGAATTAAATACTATTGCGTTTCCAATACAACCAATATTACCTGTTATCCATATGAACATACCAAAATAAATATTTAGTTCATATGGTGCTAATGATAAACTTATACTGACACCACTTCCTGTACTAGCCACTGTTGTTGTATTGTTCATTCTTACACTTATTATTTGTACAGGTGGTACTCGAGTTGAATAGGTGATCTGATGAACTTTTGGAGAATGCAATAGAGAATTTAATATACTAAAGAGCCCTGAAAGAAAAAGAGAACTTCCCTTTTTATAGTCTGTCGAAGAATGACGATGATCTGACAATGCTCATTCACGTGAGTTCTTCATTGTACCAGTAATTATTTTTTGTGTTCCCGCTAAACCTTTCCGGCAGACCATTTGAAAAACGTTGCCCCTTCCAACGGAATTCTTTTACTAATATTCTGATAAATTTTTGAAACGATCTAGTCAGAAGTACGTGAGATCACCTAGATCCAATGTACATATTTCAATCTGAACATCGTCATTTGATAAAGTACAGCCGGAAAGGACTAATAATAAATATCATACTTCTTTTCCTCTGCGCATCCATTAGAAATCTTTTGTATTTCATCCGTGAAATAATTTGTAGTCGTCATTCTCTATCAGACTTTGAGTTGCACAATGTTCATTAAGATAGAAACTTAGAAGATATCGGCAATGTCATGTATAGGCTTTTTAAATTTTGAATGAGACATCTAAATCAAAACGGGTATGTCAGATCTTGTCGGCCGAGTATCAAATCCTTTGTCGAGTAGCTGCCTAATTCGACTTATAATACAAGTGGCCAATTCCTACCACACTACAATGCCTATCTACATAGGAACAGAAATAGATTTAGTTTCCCTTATACCTGCACCCCCTCACATCCTCAATCAAGATATACGCGTGTAAACACCCACTGCGGCACCCTCAATCGAGCTATGCTTGTGTGAGGGTGTATATGTATAAGTGAAACTAAATCTATTTTTATTTCCATCTAACCGTTTGTTATAAGAGTGATATAGAAATTAGGCATCTCCTGATGATTCCGGTAGCAACCGGCCTTTGATAGACGCTGAAAATGATCGGCAAGCCGTTCACATCAATCAACGTAATAATTATAGTGAGTTTGATTGAAGAAATAGTAGCGGATGACTGAACTCGAAAGTTATTCTATATACACTGCACGGAGTAGTAGTAAAACAAAATAACCTGATTACAAACACAAAATTATCTAGTACCAGAGCTAATCACGCGACAGTCACCCAAATGAATTGAAATTATCGGAAATCTTGATGATGATAGTTATTTACTCAGATCATTTGGAGTGATCTCAAAGTCTAGAAGCACTCGACATCAGTTTGCTCTTACTTCGAAAAATGACCCTAATAATGATCAGCTCAATATCTCCCTCTCAATTACATTAAAAATGAGACAGAAAACGTTGAAACAACGAATATGGTGTTCAATTTCAAGAAAGTTATTCTTTCGGATCAGAAATCATATTCTGTGCATGTCAGATAATTTTTTATTAATAGTACATAATAACTTGTAGACAACTGTTTTTTTTTACGAACCCTTTTCTACATATACCCGTGATCTTCGTCGAATCCTGAGAGTGTGGGTGAGAGTCACGGCGTACAAACTTTTTCCTCGACCTGGTATTTCCGAAAAAAAACAAATTTTTGGTTTTAAACTGCAGAAATTCTCCGAAATAAGATTTTTCGCTTCAATGTATACTAATGTTCATGTTTCTTCTTCATTAGAAAAAAACTGATCAATGAGAAACGTTATAGAATGTAGCCATCAGTTCAGAACATGCAATGGTTGATTGTTTGAAAACAGAATAATTGCAGTTTTTGCGAATTTCTCACAGTAAATTTTCTAGAAAAATATAATCTTTTCCACTGCTTTCTTTCTATTGGTCCAAAAGAGTGAACCAATGAGCGATAGGGAAAGGAATGTATGCAGCTGATATATTGCAAATTAGCATTGTTCTCGATGATAGCATGTTGGTAATTGATAAATCCGATGTGTAAGCAATAGTATTAGTCAAGATCTACCTGAAACCAATGTTTGTTTCATTGAAAAGCAGTTTTGAACCAAACCAGACGACAAAAGCCCGGTTTTTTATGGATTGAGCGGAGGGACGTTTTTAGCATTTTTCTGTGGGAGGAAAGTGTCGTTACACAAAGCTGTAGAGCTCGCCGATTGACATATGGAAAGTATGTTCGAATAGTTGGGAAGCTTTGTCAAGCAAATTTGGCCAAGAAATACTCGAGTCCAGAGCTAAGATATTCTACGTTCAACTCGACTATTCCGATGTCCGAGTGATTTTCTTTTAGTAGGACTGATATGGAAAAAGATATATATTCAAGAACACTTCACAAAGAGATTCACCATTATAGATTTGTACGTTTTCAATAAAAATTGTTTGTTCAGATTTCGACCATCCTATTTCCCTTTCAAAACAAAATCGTCAACAAACAAGAAATCACAGCCACATGCGAGTGACAAATCTGAATTCAGTAATGTCACGAAGTTGAGCTAGAACCGGTTTTCGGAATCCACGGATCCAGCACTAAACATGGGTCTTTGGTTGTGCACATTCAATATTACTGTAAAGAGAAAATTGTTTTGCAATGATTCTTTTTGGCCAACTTCTATAACCTAGTGAAATATGAACGTTAGTCGTTGAGTAATGCGTTTTCTCATTCAAATCTTACAAAAGTGCGTCATATTTTATGCAAGAATTGTTAGTTGACGTGAATAAGCATACTTTTTCACACATCGAAGTGTTTTTAGAAACATAAAAACAGTGAAGGAGAGATGGAAAATACGGCATGCTAAAGCATGGGTTTTTTTTATTAATTAACAGAGAACACTTCGTTTAACTGTTGGTGATGATACAAAATTCTTTGCAATCCTGTAAGAAACTGCAAACGCGTTTATAATCGTCAACTGTTTCATATCCGATCGTTTCTTCTTTTTCTTTGAATTATTTTATGAAACGGTACCTATTGTAAAGACGACATAATCATTTTGTTTAAATATACAATACATGACAAGAACAACAAACATGATAAGGAAAAATCATTATTAATTCATAACTCTTGACACAACAGCCATGTCCTTTTTTTCTCTCACTAAGCTAAAAACGTTACAATCAGAGCGAATAGTTTTCTAACTAACAGTTTTGTAATAGCAATGTCTCAAAGAGGAATGTATCTTATTCTTTTGTGTCTTCTTATTGAACAACTTGTTGCACAAGATATGCGATCATTGAAAATGTTTGTATTTAACGGTTTGGAATTTCAATGCGTTAACACTACTTGTATACCTTACGCCAATCGAACGACGGAAGGTGTTCTCAAATGTCGAATAACTTGTCTATCGTTGCTTCAATGCAAAGCGGCCAGTTTTTATCAATCGGCTTTAGTCTGTCAGTTATTTACTGATACATCGATTCAGAACGCAAATATGTTGGGTAATTCAAATGTGATTTCATTAATTGTTCAAAGCGGAACTCGAATACCACCTGGTAAGTGGTACCGCCTTAAACTTTGTTTTCTTAGAAAGAGCAAAGCTACTGATACAAAAGCGTACGGAAGAGATTGATTGCAAAGTTTTCGAATATGAGATACTGGAAAGCCGATTAGCCTACTTTCATTACTAATATTTTCTGTTATTCCCTCGACTGAAAGGAGGGTCATATGAAAAAAAAATTTGTTTGTCTGTTTGTTTGTGTCAGAGTCAAAGGTCAAAAAAACATTTTTTTGAAAATGCTCAAACCTCAATAATGGATCGTTTGGGAGGAGGGTGTGGGGGTAGATGTTGATGGTGGAGTAAATGACGGGACGAGAAGGACTGTGCCGGCGACGTCAAAGGTAAAAACCACTTCCCCCTTTTCCGAAATGCCTTAATTAAAAAAAATCGTTTGAAATGGGTTCAACCATTGACCGAACAACGCTTGTATATCCGAGAGATATGCCGTACTGCCGTAGCTCGAAATTTAATAAATCTCTAATTTGACTATATCAATAGTGTATTGAGGAGTGGTACGAGGACTAATGAGATGTTCTTTCGTGCGAAGGGGGAATCGTATGAGAAAAGATCGTTTGAATGGTGTGTGCTTGCATCTTGATTCAAGACCAATATTAACAGAAACTTCACGAATAACGTGGGGAGATAGCTGAGACTGATCGGTAGCTATCGTAGATTACAAAACTGACCAATCAGGTATCACGCGATGTAAGGCTGAGAAATTAGGTATGTGTCTAGGATGCATTTGTCGTATGACCCTANAAAAATATCACTTCTTTTATTTCAACAACGTGGTTTCAAAGGATTTTTCTCAGGAATTTTACCTCGAACTTGTACAATTGCTCCATATACTGTTATTATGATGTCAGTCTATGAAATTATAAAACGTACATCTGTACGTGAAGATTCATAAATAAATAATAGGAATGAGTCACGTAAGATATCTTAGCGCTCGATTCGATTTTGTTTAGGATTCATTCGTCCGGACACGCGTTCCAACTCCATCTACACCCAAATCCTCAACCTCAAATTTCTTGTTGACAATCTATCTCCACTAAAGTATTCAGTTTGATTTAGTTTCGGGTACAGTACACTAGACTTTTCTTATAGAATATAAATCGTGCGTTTGTTCACGCGTATATGAAGAATTGGTTTCGTTACGTCTTGATGGCAATGCAACGCATCTGACTTATCGCTTCAGAATAAGGGCTCTGAACCATTGATGGGTAAATTCGTTTGCATTTTGTTCATAATTGATCCAATGCAAGATATACTAATCTTCACAGGTTGTAAAATAACACCCCGAGATACTGGTAGACGAAGTTCTTGGGCTGGTTTGCTGCAGTTTATACATGTAGGAAGCGGAGAAAGTTGTACATTCTCTTTATTGGTTGAACTGGTCGATGCCATGTCCCATTTACTGGAATCGATCTCTTTTGATTTTATACGTTGACGTCTGCATAGAAAACAGAATGTTTTGGGGAACAGTTGAAATTGTTTGTGAGCAAGTGAATTACTCTTCTATACTTGGAGTCGAATAGGAAATGTTTACATCTTCATTCTGACGCATTTTCAACGAAATTATAAAGACAAAAATGATTTATTTGCATCATGAACTATTTGACTGTCTTTTGATTAAAAATATCTTCAATGAATTAATGAAATTCATATACATATGCTTGACTAATTCATGATAACTGAGTATAAGAGAAAATAAGAAATCTTGTGTATTTAAAGGTAAAGAATTTACAAATACAACGAAAAATTTAACTGAAATACAAAACATAGAGATTAGTCATATTCATAATATTAATTAAACGTTTGTTTGAATATGTATTGTTGTAGGTAAATGTTTAGTTGTTGACAAGTCAATCAATTTTTTCATTCCTAGCAAATGTTTAATCTGTTGACGAAAGCCCGTATTTGTAAAAAGCGAAACATAAAAACTTGATTGAAAAAATATATATGCTAATAAATGTGTTAGTTCAGTAAATACTTTATCTCTAGCTTTTTCATATGGTGTTTTCGAATAATATTGTCTAATACTTGTGTAAGCTAATTCAACTGAATATGGTACATACGTTATGACAACAATTATACATTGTAATAATAACATTAATGATAATTTCGAACTCATTTGTTCTAGAACTGTTTTATTTTGATTTGTTGTTGGTTGAATTCTTCGTTGGATAACATGATGAACACTTCGTCTCAAAAGAAATGCTAATAGAAACATTAATATCGGTGGTAGCACAGCTGATGTTGCATTTTCAAACCATTCATCCCATGTTGCATAAATACCAGGTGGCGGACCACAATTTCCATCTGATAATTGATACCATATTCAACGATGTCCAATCAATAAAAACCAAAATAACATTGAACCTGCTACCATTTTATACGATAATGTCACACGATTACTCCAGTTTCGTAAATCTTCAAAACAAAACATGAGTTTTATGCAAAAACAGGATATCTCTTTTACTTGTTGATCGTTGTGTTGCTAAAATCCGATCCATTGTTGCAAATACAAAACTATTAAATGAAATTTGATTTCCCCAAAATGTGTAAAATTGGCGAATTCTACAAAATGCTAAATATTTTGTTGTTAATGGTACCCGAAAACCTTTTTGAACTACTCGCGACATGAATACAAAATTAAAATATATAAAATCTTGAATTGCTTGACAAAATAAATATCTTGCATATGCTTGATTAGCGAACATTCGTGAATTAAATACTATTGCGTTTCCAATACAACCAATATTACCTGTTATCCATATGAACATACCAAAATAAACATTTAATTCATATGGTGCTAATGATAAACTTATACTGACATCATCTCTTGTACTTGCCACTGTTGTTGTTGTTGTTGTCTTGTTCATTCTTACACTTATTATTTGTACAGGTGGTACTCGAGTTGAATAGGTGATCTAATGATGTTTTAGAGTATGCAATAGAGAAATTGATATATTAAAGAATCCTAAAAAAAAGAATTTCCCTGTTTATAGTCTGTCGAAGAATGACGATGATCTGACAATGCTCATTCATGTGAGTTCTTCATTACATCAGTAATTATTTTTTGTGTTCTTGCGAAACCCTTCCGACAGACTATTTGAAAAATATTGCCCCTTTCAATGGAATTCTCTTACTAGCATTCTGATAAATTTTTGAAACGATCTAGTCAGAAATACGTGAGATCTACTAGATCCAATGTACCTATTTCAATCTGAACATCGTCATTTAATAAAGTACAGCCGGAAAGGATTAATAATAAATATCGTACTTCTTCTCCTCTGCGTATCTATTAGTATTCTTTTGTGTTTCATCTGTGAAATAATATTGATAGTCGTCATTCTCTATCAGACTTTGAGTTGCAAAATGTTCATTGAAACAGAAACTTAAAACATTTTGACAACATCATGTATAGATTATTTAAATTTTGAATGAGGCATCCAGATTAAAACGGATATGTCAGATCCTGTTGGACGAGTATCAAATCCTTTATCTACCAAGCCTTCACTGCTGTGGAAACTAGTCGAATATACGTGAATTCCCGTTATCGATTGTTATTTTTATTCTCATGCATTATGATTCCGGTAGGAATCTGCCTTTACTAGACGTTAGAAATGATCAGCAAGCCATGCACATCAATTGACATAATAGTTCTAGTGTGTTTGATTGACGAAATAGCAGCCGCTGACTGAACTCGAAAGTTATTCTATATACACTGTACGGAGTAATATTAAAACAAAATAACCTGATTACAAACACAGAATCATCGGGTACCGGTGCTAATCACACGAGAGTCACCCAAATGAATTGGATTTATCTGAAATCTTGATGATGATAGGTATTTACTGAGGTCATTTGAAGTAATCTCAAAGTCTAAAATCCTTCGAAATCATTTTGTTCTTTCTTCGAAAAAATAATCCCAATAATGATCAGCTCAATATCTCCCTTTCAATCACATTGCAAATGAGACAGAAAACGTTGAAACAACGAATATGGTGTACAATTTCAAGAAAGTTATTTTTCAGATCAGAAATCATATTCTGTGAACGTCAGATAATTTCGTATTAATAGTACATAATAACTTGTAGACGACTGCCTTTGTTTTACGAATCCTTTTTCTATATATACTCGTGATCTTCGCCGAATCCAGAAGGTGTGGGTGGAGGGTTACGGCGCACGAACTTTTTCCTCAACCTAGTATTTCCGAAAAAATTAAATTTTTAGTTTTAAACTGCAGAAATTTTTAAATTTATTTTTCAGAAAATTTTCGTTTTAATACATACTTATTTTCATGTTTCTACTTCATTAGAAAGAACTGACCAATGAGAAACCTTATAGAATGTGACCATTAGATCAGAACAATGATTGATTGTTTGAAAACAGAATAATTACAGTTTATGCGAATTTCTCACAGTAAATTTTCAGAAAAAATATCATATTTTTCACTGCCTTATTTCTATTGGTCCAAAAGAATGAACCAATGAGCGATAGGGAAAGGAATATATGTAGCTGATATATTGTTATTTAGCATTGTTCTCGATGATAGTATGTTGATAATTGATAAATCCGATGTGAAATCAATAGTGGTAGTCCATATCTACCTGAAACCAATGTATGTTTCATTGAAAAGCAGGTTTGAACGAAACCAGACGACAAAAATCCGGTTTTCCATGGATTGGGCGAAGGAATGTTTCTAGCATTTTTCAGTGGGAAGAAAGTGTCGTTACACAAACTTGTAGAGCTCGCCGATTTGCATTTGGAAAGCTTTGTCAAGCGAATCCGAAGCCGGGATATTCTACGTTCAAGTCGACTGTTCTGATGTTCGGATGATTTTTTTCTGGTAGGACTGGTATGAAAAAAGATACATATATTCTCCATGATAGATTTATTGTACGTTTTCAAAAAAAATCTATTGTTCAGATTTCGACCATCCTATTTCCGTTTCAAAAAAAAAGAATCGTCATCAAACAAGAAATGATAGCCAGATGTGAATGACAAATCTGGATTCAATAACGTCACGAAGTTGGGCTGGAACCGGTTTTGGAATCCATGAAAGCAGCGCTAACATTTGAGTCTTCGCTTGTGCGCATCCAATATCACTGTAAAGAGAAAAATGTTCACAATGATTCTTTTTTGGCCAACTTCTATAACCTAGTGAGATATGAACGTTTGTCGTTGAATAATGCTTTTTCTCATTCAAATCTTACAAAAGTGCATCATACTTTATGCAAGAGTTGTTAGTTGATGTGAATAAGAATGATTTTCTCACACATCGAAGTGTTTTCAGAAACACAAAAGCAGTGAAGGAGAGATGGAAAATACGGCATGCTACAGCGTGGACTTTTTTACTAATTAATAGAGACGAAAACTTCGTTTGACTGCTGGTTGTAATACAAAATTCTTTGCAATCTTGTAAGAAACTGCTAACGCTTTTATAATCATCAACTGGTTCATATTCGATCGTTATTCTTTTTCTTTGAATTATTTTATAAAACGGTACCTATTGTAAAGACGACATATTCATTTTGTTTAAATATACAATAATTGACAAGAACAACAAACAGGATAAGGAAAAGGCATTATTAATTCATAACTCTTGACACAACAGTCATGTTCTTTTTTTTCTCACTAAGTTAAAAACGTTACAATCAGTGCGAATAGTTTTCTAACTGACAGTTTTGTAATAGGAATGTCTCAAAGAGGAATGTATCTTACGCTTTTGTCTCTTCTTATTGAACAATTCGTTGCACAAGATATGCGATCATTGAAAATGTTTGTATTTAACGGTTTGGAATTTCAATGCGTTAACACCACTTGTATATCTTACGTCAATCAAACGACGGAAGATGTTCTCAAATGTCGAATAACTTGTCTATCGCTGCTTCAATGTAAAGCGGCTAGTTTTTATCAATCAACTTTGGTCTGTCAGTTATTTACTGATACATCGATTCAGAACGCAAATATGTTGGTCAATTCAAATGTGATTTCATTAATTGTTCAAAGTGAAACTCGAATACCACCTGGTAAGTGGTAGCGCCTTAAACTTTGTTTTATTCGAAAGAGCAAAGTTTCTGATAAAAAAGCGTACGAAAGAGATTGATTGCAAAGTTATCGCGTATGAGATACTGGAAAACCGGTTCACCTATTTCCATTACTAATATTTCCTATTATCCAGTGTCATCTTTAAATATAGATGGCTTTCAATGTTCATTAAAATAAATGGTATATCAGACAAGAGCAAGAATACAAAGCGAATTTATTCCAAGAAATGAATTGTTGTATCTTGAGGGTGTTGATATGTGCGATTTCGAAGAAAATATAGCCTTCTTTGCTCTCAGTGAATCTCAATGGTTAGAAAGATCCTCAGTGATTACACGTAGAAGACCAACTTTTAGTTAGGACTTATAGAACTTCTTTCTTTCATTTTGATAATTGTCTTTTTTTCACAAAAAGAGCCAACTACGTCAACAACATCAAGCACGACGTCAACAACATCAAGCACGACGTCAACATCAACTACTACTTCAGTAGCTACTAGTATGTAACATATAAGTATATGATTACTATTTTCTGAATGCTGCAAAAGAAGCTAGTACGTAAGAGTGGAAGAAGTTTCCGAGAAAAAAAAACACTTTTTTACTTAGTATTAGGCTTCGAAAAAAAGTTTGATATTCGTAAACAATTTTAAGACAGATTCGAATCTTCGAAGACATTATAAAAAGAGTTTGTTATACTAAATATCATATTCTTGAACTAAATAAGACCTAAATGATCTCTTTGTCTGGCTGAGATAAAACTTTGTACGAATATACATAGCCATCTGAGTTATTTATGCATATGACCAGACCTGTGTGCTATATTTTTTCTGGATATTTTCTTTAAAAAACTTTCGACATTGCTTATTTAGAAGAAAAAGTCACAAATCTACAGGCTAAGCTTGTTAATTTATTCCCTTTTCTGAAAAAAGGGTTATAGAGTCGTAAAAATGCTTAATCTTTGTTTATTCGTGCAAGATAATAAGATTTCCTCTGGCTGTACGCTTTGGCCAGAAAGCTTATTCTAAGTCCGCATTTTGGTCACTAAGACTTATTTGACATTGCGGATAAGCGGGTGAGAGTCTGGAAGGATTTAAGATTGAATTTAGGAGATGTGTTTAGTACTAAATTTATTCCTAACTGTTTTAAAATTTTTATGGGTCAAATCACGCAAAAAAAGATATTAGCATCTCTTATTTCCTTTAAACTTTTGATGACGGTATTTTTTCTTACCAGATATTTTTGTCATAAACATATGTAAAAATGCTTGTCCTCTCAGATGTTATTCAATTAAAATGAAGCAGGCAACGAGCGAATATATTTCTAACAATACGGCGAAAATTTTTGAAACTTTCAGGATAAACTTTACGACCAAACTTGTATATGTGATAAAATTTTCATCAAAACTGGAGATAGGAAATTTCTCTCGGGAAAAACCTTTCCCTGTGCTTCTATTAAGCGTCAAAAAAGAATTTTTGACTGTGTCATATTCTAGAGGTACTGAAGAATGATTCATGCTTGTATGAATTGGTTTGAACCTTTTTCTAGTCAGGTGAGTCTTTTTTCGCTCAACCATTCGTATTCGGTCATGTCTCTATTAAAATGATTTGGCCTAAATACAAGAGAAATATGAACATATTTCATAGGATGCGCTCATACTCGTCCATAATACTGAATTTGTCTTGACATAGATGTACTCATCTTTACTGGCGTTCAACTCGATTTCAATCCATCATCGTTACCAAGTGGATGGTCTCTGTGTTATTCAGCAACATATGCAACGATTATGGAAGTAAGTTCCCTGTCATCGATTTTATCATCATGCAATAAAAACAATTTGCTACTTGGATGTCGACCGGCAGGTAGCGTGAATTTGACCGTAGCAGCAATGGGTAATCGAAATGATGTGCTTTACAACTGCGGATCCGTAATTAATTGTATCCATATTGCGAACGGTGTAGGTTGGTATTATTCAGATTCATACTCATGGGGTTTCGTATCTGGTGGTGACACTGTAACACGATCCAGCTGTGATACTGCTTCAACAAATGCTAACTATCGGTTATGTTGGCATACTGCTAGTAGTGGTGGATATAGATGTGGTTCAACAACAGGACTTAACAGCGATACATCTTGGGAAAAGATTATTTATCAATCAAATTGAATGGAATAGATGACAATTGATCGAAAAAGAAGCGGTGCATCATTCTGTTTGTTAAGCAAGAATCATGACATTTTCTATAGACAAAAGAAGAGGCGCTTTTTATAACGCTTAATATCGATGTTTATTAATAAATCTTCTCAGAACGCCAACAGTGCTGCATATTTCGTGTTGTGGAGATCTCCATTTATTCACCATAGAAGACAAATTGGCCTTTGACGCAGTATGCACATATTTGCGAACGAGAATGTATACTCTGCGCGAAATTTAATGAGTTTTATTTATGAATGAAAACCAGTATGAAAAAAATCCTCACATCGACAACCGAAATCAAGAGGACTATGATATGGCTTTGAATCCTTGATCATCTCTCCTGACTCGATATGTAAAAGAAATACTCCCCACCAACTAAACATACCGACAGTAATCATAGCATGATCGAATATAGTCAAATCCTCAGTTGCATTAAATGGACTGGTTGTGATTATCAACCGCTCCTATGTGGAAATGCTTTTTGACAGTATACTTTCTCATCTGATGCTGAAAAAATGTAATAAAACCATACTTCACTTGAAAGTATGACATGACATTGAATATGTATTCATTTACAGCAACACGGCAGATATGTAAATCTACTAGCGTTGAGTTATTTCTATTGCTAGTTTTACTAAGAAAGTCATCGATTCGATATAAGATCGATTATTTAAAACGTAATTGTCATCTCAATTGCTGTTTGCAATCGACGAAATACTTGTACACTTGCCAAAATCCAGATAACTCGAACAAACAGGCATAGTTAGGATACAAAATTGGAGGTACGAAAGAACAATGGTTGTTCATCTACTGAATGAATTTTGAATCATTCGAGTATGATTTTGATAATAGATTATTAGGTAGTTTTTTTTCTAGAATGATTGACCGAATTCTGTCATGATGAATGAATGGATCTACAAATAGCATGACCGACTGAGTGATAAACCATAAGTAGAAGCAGACATGAATAGACGATTACCAAGTCGACCTTCCTGTTGACGTAATACAGTTGTGCATTGTCTGAGTTTAATCGATCGATTAGCTTTTCTTCATAATTGTAAAGCACAACGTACTATTGACCTGATATAAATCATAGAGAAACACACAGTAATGAGAACGATAACTTTTAGAATTTTGATGCCCTTGTCTGAAAACATTGTCTTCCTAGATTCGATGAAGCCAAACAAAACACAAAACATTGAATAGACGTTACCTCACAGAGGAAGTAATCGTATAACTTATTGCTGCTTACGTCAATACAAACGAGACATGAAATTCTAGAAAAAAAGCGAATCTTATGCTTCCTTCTAACTATTTAGAAAGACAACATACAAATCAACGTCAACAACGGAAATACCAAACTACACATATTTAAACAAAGTTAATTATTTTGCTTCACGTTGTTTAGTAATGATGGATGAATGATGACAGGAGAGATCTTTTTTAAATGGTTGACTTTTTCCCCTGTTCACATCTTGCTCGTCGGTGTTCCATCACCAAATCGATAAGTCTGATATCGTCACAGCAGCTGAAGTTGAAAAAAGAAAACCATCGGTTACTGATAATAAACTAAGGAGAGCTTACAGAATTCAAAAATATACTGTCGTTCAAAAGAATATAATAGACAACATCTCTACATCACTTTTGTCAGTGGTGAGAGGTATAGTGATGCATCATTTGTCATCGTTGTAGTTGTACTTTTATACTCCCATAGATGTAATATACTTACCTAGAAGTTTTTTGCCAATCAATATGTTTTGAAAAACAATTTCCGACAAAGTTATATTTTTCATTATAAGAATGATCATCAGGAGTACAAGCAATACTTCACTTGAGTATACTTGCTTGTAAAGCGGTATAAAAAGTTTTTATTCCATGTATTTGTGTTATGGGCTTTGGTTAAAGAGATTTTTAGATAGTTTCATGTATCTTTAACGACCCCCTACTTTTGATACTTAATCATCTCGCATGATATCTGTTCCAACTAAAAACGGATACACTTTGGTATATAAACGAATTGTTCCCGCCTTCTAAATGCAGCAGTTTCTGGACAATACGTCTTGACCAAATAGCCAAATTCAACCAAACACATTCGAATGCATATACTTTTTGCAGTAGTATTCTATAGATTCATTTTATTGCGATTTATTCGTATCGAGAACGTATGCAGTGTCAATAAATACATTGTAGAAATGCATTAAGTTCATATTTTCTAGTACAATCCTAGTGGTATATTTATTTATAAGTAGCTAAATGAATACTGATCTTGAATGACTGATATCTCAGACAAGACATCTTTGAGTATGTGGTTAGCTTGTTTTACAGTTTGACATATATAGAAGTTTTCACTTGCTCGTATCTTATGTATACTATTTGAAATGGCTTTCAGCACCTTTGAGTTCTAAAAGCTATCATTATAAAAAGACAACCTTTTCATTATTCTTGATTTATGTTCACTGTATTAGTTTGAAAGTTATTGCGTGCTACTTTAATTGTTATCATTTGCCTCCCTCACCCTCACACCCTCAAGATTTTCCCTTTATAATGAATCAAACCAATAGTATTATAAGACTTTACTAAATCAACATGATCGGACGGAAAACGTTCTTCATAAATTTCAAGAGCTTTTTTAGTAAATTGACGCACTGTCGAATAATTGCCTTTTCTATAGTGCAGTGAACCAATATTCTGGTACAAGGAAGCTATATTCGAGTGGTGCAAACCAAAAATATTGAGCCGCATGTCAAGTACTTTCTCGTAATATGAAAGTGCTTCTGTATACTTTCCCGTGTGACAATAGACTATACCAATGTTGTTAAGACAAGTTGCTAAGAGTGCATGATTTATAGGAAGAGTTTTTACATATATATCATGTGCGTCTTGACGATATTTTATAGCTTCTGAATAAAATCCGAGTTTACAGTACGTATATCTCAGCAATACCATCATACGCAACAGCTAACATAGGATGATTTGGAGGGAAGATGCTTTTGGAGATCTGAAATGCTTCTTGGTGCCACTGAAGATATTCGAGGTACTGACCTTGATAATTACATACCACC